TACCTGGTGCTTCGTACATGACTTTTTCTCTGTCGCTCGATAACGTTTCACTTAGGGTTGTAAACTAATACGTGAGACAATCGGCAAAAACGTATACACTTTTGTCTCCATTTGTAGATGCGCACTACGGCAGGGTCATCTTTCAGTCAACCTACAATGTTTTTATCTGAATCTGCTTAGACGGTGGATAATTTGCGAGGAAGGTTTCTGAACTCACACACATGCCGCTGCTTGTCTCTTTCTAACTTGCTTCCGGTGTCATATAAGTAAGATCAGTATAATTTGGTATTTAGATTAATAAATTATTAGATACTGCACTTACTAGGCGTTCTGTCGTGGAACGTCCACTTCCTAATCCGAATTGTAGCAGACAAAAAGACTGGTCCTTCAAAAAAACATTGAGGAAGCCATGTTTCAAATTCGATTCTCATCATTGCAATCTTGGAAACGGAAAGACGTATGAGGTCGATGGAATGGAGGCAAGGCGAAGTTGCACATTTAGATGCCTGAGAAAATGGCAATTATAAAGCTTTCTAATTTAGGGTACTTTCCGAAAGAGATAAGCAATCTTGGTTCAATGTCATATCTTGACCTCAGCCATTAAATTTATTTTTTCTTATTGACGCCATATAGGATTTTTACAGAGATGGATAGGGTTTTTAATGATTTCAAAAACTTATAACTCATGCATGTTTTAGAACAATAATTATTAAGAAAAGACAATTTTCTAAGTAGGCCTTGAAATAGGCAGTTATTCGTTCCATTATATCATCAGCCAAGCATTTCTCCAGTTTTTATCAGCTGGGCATTGGAAAATGGTTCCATTAATTGACATTGTGCGTGTCATGATATGGATGGAAAAACTAATCTTCCTATATTTGGTTTTAAGTGATCGAATAAAGAACAAGGTGATGTTATATTTTCAGAACTACTCAAGCATGGTAATGAAAACATTTTAGAGCAAGTAAAAGGTTTGATGTTGCAGGTTGCTAAACACAATTTATATCCATCATATATCAGCTGATTCACACATTTTGCATTTGAATAATATTAAGTTGTCTTGCCAAAATGACCCTTCTTAGTCGTCAAATTAATGTGCAAATTCTCACACTTCTCAAAAACTAAAGTAACCATTCATTGGTGATGTAATCAAATAAACATGAAATGCAAAACTTTCTTAGGGTGGGATTCACCAAGGTTGTCAAATCAACAGTCCGTTATTCTCCACCTATAGGGTAACAGTCCGTTAAATACAACGAATGAATATAAATTACAATCAACAAATTTTAGCAACCAATAGCTATGAAATGTTGAAAACAAAATACTGTCAAGGTATGAGATGACATCTTGTCATTGAAACATCTTATTGAATATTAAGAAATTACATATAATTCAGTCATAAATTAAAGAAATGTTTGATTTTTGAATTAAATTCATGTTTTAATTACTATTGTTGATTTTTTATTCATGGTTATATTATTTTATTCAATTGATATGCAATTTTACTGATTTAACATCACTTCCCGTGTTTTTTTTCCTATAAACCTCTTGCAGATAGCCATTAAGCACATACTTGATGACATGCTCTACCAAAAAGCTCATAGGTATTGCTCGTTTCCAAACATTCATTCATTTATTTGCCGTTCATCAGAACCATTATGGTACCTTAGATTGATATTCCCACAAAACCATTCAGGACTTTTGATATCCTTACTGCAGTCCCACTCTATGTCTGTCGCTGCTGACCGGCAGATCGACGGTGGCTGGGGAAAGATGACACGACGCCAAGACGCCAATGCTCTCAACCGATTCAACGCAGCGCAATAAGACGTTATATTTGTTTGTTACTTAAGATTGTTGGAATATATATTTATTACTGCAAGTAGTATTGATCGACTAGCGGCTCACCATCTTAGACAACATCAGAAGTGTGTGTTTTACGGTGGTTCCCAATTTTAGCAAATATTCTGCAGGCTGTTGTTTGCTCAGAGATTGGACAAGATGCCAAAGCAAAAGCAAAGGAAATCCAGAAAACGAAGTAGAAGAGAACCTTCCTCGTCTTCAACAACCAGTAGTTCTTCCGGCAGTTCTAGCAATAGTAATGGGCATAAACATAAGAGATCCAGGTGTAAGTCAAGGGAAACCGTGAGTAGCGAACATTATTCTACTTTTACGAGGGCCGATCAAGGAATACATATTTCGATGGTAATTCCAGAATTTGATCCGAAAATTAATGACATATCAGAGTGGTTAGAGGTTATCAAATATAATGCAGATATTTACAAGTGGCCTGATAGCCTTATTAAGTGTCATGCTTTGAATAAACTCAAGGGTACAGCCAAAACCTGGTATGACAGTTTCATTCAGGGTGACTTGGGGTGGTCTAGTTATGCTTGGGGCCAGTGGGAGGATATATTGAAAAATACATTCCAGAGTACACGTAATGCTTATCAACTGTTGATGGAAATGGTAAATCATAGACCCAGCGAAGGTTGTTCGTTATATGATTTTTGTTTTGAACACATAGCGAGAATAAATAAGTTACGAGTAGGATTTTCAGATTGTGACAAGGTATCATTAATTATAGGTGCTATAAATGACGTTAATATAACATCAGCTGTGGAGGCAGCAAATATTCGAAATCCTCATATTTTGGCGGCATATCTGAAGAACAAAACTTATACTGGTAGGGGCAAACCGTTAAAATCAGAGGTGCAACAGTCAATCAATCAAAGTGGTCGATTGGGAGCATCTGACAATATAGTCCGGTCAAGTACGATACATCAAAATGTAAATTGCACCACATGTGGCAACAGAGGTCACGAGCGGAATGATTGTAAACATAGAAATAAGATTTGCAATTTTTGCAGAATTAAGGGGCATATTGAGGTGAATTGTTTCAAGAAACGAAAGAACTCAAGTGAACCAGGCAGATGGGATAATTCAACTAAGTCTTCAAAAGTAAAACAAAAAATTGAACAGGTCAAATTAATTAAAAGTCAGAATAGTGCTTCAAAATTTTTCAAAAAAATATTTCTTGATGGGAATTTAATAGAAGCTTTTGTGGATTTTGGTAGTGATTGTTCTCTAATAAAATTGGCAATAGTGCAGGAGCTAGGGTTAACGTTGAAACCTCTTGGGGAGAAGGTAACATTGTCAGGATTTATGGGTATAGGGACTGTTGTTACGCAATTTGTTGAGGTAATGACCCAAATTGATCAGGTGAAACTTAATACAAAATTTTATGTGGTTTCTAATGAAAGTGTAGACAATGATGTTCTTGTTGGGAGAAATTTCACAGAAAATAATACTATTATGTATTATCGTATAGATGACAAGTTGATATTCAAAATAAAGGACAAAAAGCCACAGTGGTTGCAAAATGTCAAAACAGGGGTGTTGTCAGAACAAGATAATAAGACTCTGCAGGATATTCTAATTCAATATCAAGGTTGTATATTTTTGAATTTGAATAATTTGGGGAAGGCACACTCTGTTTCATTAAAAATAGAGTTGGTCAATGACAAACCAGTCACTCATAAGGCCTATCGATTAGCAGAGATAGAAAAACAAATCATGAGAGGTAAGGTACAGGAACTTTTGGAGGCTAAAATCATACGTGAAAGTAATTCACCATATGCCAGTCCTGCTCTTCTGGTCAATAAAGGAACTAATGACAAACGACTAGTTGTCGATTACAGGGCGCTAAACAAAATAACTGTTAAAAATAATTTTCCAATGCCATTAATCGAAGAAATTATTGATAATTTGAGTGATTACAAGTATTTTACCTCGCTTGACCTAGCATCAGGTTACCATCAAATACCGATGGAGCCTGCTTCAATGAAGTATACAGCGTTCATAACACCTGAAGGGCATTTTGAGTACGTTCGTATGCCGTTTGGGCTTTGTAATGCCCCATTGGTATTTCAGAAATTTATGAATGAAATCCTTATGCCTTTAAGAAAATTTAATGTGGTTCCTTATTTGGACGACATCTTAATACCGTCAAAGACTATAGAGGAGGGGTTAGATTTATTGCCTAAGGTACTGAAAATTGTACAGGAGTATGGTATTGTAATAAAAATCGAAAAGTGTTCTTTTCTTACAGAGAAGATAGTTTATCTAGGATATCAAATCTCATACAATCAAATATCACCATCCAACCTGAAAATTGAAGCGGTGGAACAATTTCCTTGTCCTAAGACACAACATCAACTGAGACAGTTCTTGGGTCTCGTCGGCTATTTTCGGAAGTTCTTAAAAGATTTTGCGCGAATTACCGCCCCATTGACGAAGCTATTAAAGAAAGGAAGTCGGTGGTCTTGGACAGAAGTTCACACACAAATAGTCAAAGATTTAAAAGCCAAAATTTGTGCAGAACCTATTTTGGCAATATTTAATCCAAAAGCACTGACAACCGTATATACGGATGCTAGTCGTGATGGTTTTGCAGGAATTTTGATGCAAAGTACAGATGGTAAAGAGAGACCAATAGCGTATTTCAGTAGGCAAACTAATACCGCTGAGAAAAATTATCATTCTTTTGAGTTGGAACTATTAGCAATAGTCAAAACTTTGGAACGGTTCAGATTTTATTTAGTAGGCTATCAGTTCCAAATTTTTACTGATTGCAATGCGGTAAAGAACGCATTATCTAAGCAGTCGATAATTCCAAGAATTGCTAGATGGGTCTTGTCCTTACAAGAGTTTTCTTTTACCATTCACCATAAAGCAGGTACTCAGATGCAACATGTAGACGCACTTAGCCGAAACTTTAATAAATCTCAAAACAAAGCACAAGTCCTACTCATCCAAGAAGATGACTATCTCAGGGAAGCACAGGATCAAGATGAATCCATAGTGGAAATTAAAAATATTCTTTTAAGTGGGGATGTTCAGAGTCACAAAGATGTTTTTAATAATTACGATTTAAGGGGGAACAAAGTCTATAAGTTAACACCTTATGGGAGAAGATGGGTAGTCCCAAAGAAGTGTAGATGGCAAATCGTCAAAGCAAACCATGACGATATAGGTCATTTTGCGGTTGATAAAACGTTAGAGAAAATTAAGCAACGGTATTGGTTTCCCAGAATGAGGCATTTCATAACAAAATACATAAATGCATGTTTACCTTGTTTATATCATAAAGATAAAGGGGGCAAAAGACCCGGGTACCTTCACTCCATCCCAAAGTATGCTAGACCACACCACACACTACATATAGATCATTTAGGACCTTTTGTGAACACAAAACAGGGAAACAAGTATTTAATAGTTGTTGTTGATGGCTTTTCGAAATTTGTGTATTTAAAAGCAGTTCCTGATACATCTGCAAAATAAGTAATTCAAATGTTAACTGAAATGTTCGCGATGCTCGGTAACCCAAGACGACTCATCACGGATCTTGGATCTGCGTTTACTTCAAAGGCCTTCGAGGAATTTGTTGCTGCAAGAGGGATACGGTTATTTACAACAGCTGTTGGTCTCCCAAGAGGCAATGGTCAATGTGAGCGGACGAACAGAACAGTTCTAGACGCTTTAGCAACATCTGGTTCGCAAACAAGTGAAGACAATTGGGATACTAATCTTTCACATATACAACAAGGACTGAATAGTACTAGACACCGTATTACACAAAACACGCCCGCAGAAGTAATGTTTGGTTTCCAACTACGGACTGATAGTGACAAATACCCTGATGACGATATGGAAACAACTCTAGATGTTACAAAAATCCGAAAAGAGACAGCCAAACGTCTGGAACACAATAGAATCGAACAAGATTTAAAATTTAACACTAAACGTTCTCTACCTAGGTTGTACCAGGTGGGAGATGTGGTATTAACTAAAGTAACCAGCTTTTCAGCGAATGAAGACAGTAAAAAGTTACGTCCTAAGTTTAGAGGACCATTCAAGATAGTTGAGGTTCTACCCAATGACAGGTATAGAGTGCAAGAAGATCGTTTCACACAGAGGTCAAGGCGACCATATCAAGCTGTGGTAGGTGTGGAACACATGAAACCCTTCAAAGTTCAAAATCAATAAGGTGAGTAAGGAACTACTCAAATGTTACGCCCTCAATGGCATCTGTTCTGCTCTCAATGGCAAATGTTACGCCCTCAATGGCATCTGTTCTGCTCTCAATGGCAAATGTTACGCCCTCAATGGCATCTGTTCTGCTCTCAATGGCAAATGTTACGCCCTCAATGGCATCTGTTCTGCTCTCAATGGCAAATGTTACGCCCTCAATGGCATCTGTTCTGCTCTCAATGGCAAATGTTACGCCCTCAATGGCATCTGTTCTGCTCTCAATGGCAAATGTTACGCCCTCAATGGCATTGTTCTGCTCTCAATGGCAAATGTTACGCCCTCAATGGCATCTGTTCTGCTCTCGATGGCAACTGTTATGCCCTCAATGGCAAGTTTTGCTCTCGATGACGAATGGTCGTCCTCGATAGCAAATGGTGTTGATGGCAATAGGTATAGGTGTTTCCTAAATAACTTAATATTTTCAGACGTTCGGGACGAACGTGACGTCAGGATGGCCGTGCAGTCCCACTCTATGTCTGTCGCTGCTGACCGGCAGATCGACGGTGGCTGGGGAAAGATGACACGACGCCAAGACGCCAATGCTCTCAACCGATTCAACGCAGCGCAATAAGACGTTATATTTGTTTGTTACTTAAGATTGTTGGAATATATATTTATTACTGCAAGTAGTATTGATCGACTAGCGGCTCACCATCTTAGACAACATTACATCCATAAAGTTGAATATTTTTCGTTGTTCAGGAACTGAACAAACATCTACACTATATTCACAGCGATTAAGAAATTCCCAAATATATGTCTTAAAGCTACCAGCAAACGTAAAACCTGCAAAAAAGTCACAAAATATATACTCTGAATAAGGTTTAATTCCATGCTATTCAATGACAACACCGTGACTTGTGTGGTTGTCAGCGGCCATTTTGTGAGGGTGCGACATGGTTGCCAGATTGTGCATTAATATCCCGTTTCACCCCCCTGGTCCCAGTGGAGTAAGCTCCGGCAACTATTGAAATATACTCTCCTAGGCGTTATAAGAGTATTCGTGGAATTTTTCCCAAAATCGTTGCATAACACTTGGAAATGCAAATGAAAATTTAAAATTATTTCCATGACGCCGTAAAATAGCTCCGTCGGTACCTCGGGTTAGACATCTTGACAGTAAGGATGTTCGATAGTATCCTATATTTAGAAGTATCAATACATTTCACGAGTATCGTCATCTTTCGATCCGGACTGTGTCAGAAAGAGTGACTGCCATTTGGCTGCGACATGGTAATGTCAAATCAGACATATCTTTCATCATTTTCAAAGAAATTGTACAAAATCTTCAAATTTGTGAAGTTAGCGAGTTTCACTTAATACGTTGTTACCAGACATGCCCAAATCATCAGTTGCTGCCGTGATATTCATCCCGACCACTGCATCCCCACGGCTAGGCGACCTGTATGTTAAATTTGTATTGATAGGGCAGCGGGTTATGCTATAAATCATATGTCACAGTTTTTGTGCACTGATTGCAACGGTTAGATGATAAGAAAAATATTTTCATAAATAGGAGATGTTTCCCATTCCGAATCGAACAATCCACCAAAAATGCTCATAATCGTGATTCCTAGTAAATTTACATGAAAAATCCTCTATTTGTAGGTATATAAGTGCTTTCTCATATTTGTTCATCAATTTGATGATACAACACATCGGCTAAAAATGATCATAATCAGGATAGTAAACTATGACGAAGGTCCACTGTATGTAAGAATTTTCAGATACTTCTTTTGCAATTTGACAACAGACCATGACGGTGTTCATATTTTTCAAACATTCTTCAAGAAGTGTTATTAGTCTAGCTCTGACTATCATAAGTACTATGTTTGTATTCCTACTTTAAATTCAAAACCAGCAAATGTAAAAGATTCATGTCGCACCCTTCACCACGAGACGTGATCGTCGTTAGACTTGGCAACCCTGCGAGTGACAGATAGATAACCCCACTAGTGAAAAAGGCAATCAAACAATAAAAATTAATAGTTTTTATGATTTTTGGACTTAAAAGACATTATTTGTGAGACATTTTTCATAATTTTTTGTCTATGTCCATAGTAATTGCATTATCCATCATGGAGATGTAGGGATTGACATGTCTTACACATATTATGTGTGTTAGGATGGAGACGACAATGTTTTTATTGCTTTGAAGAAGTTCATTAACCCGCAAATTGATAAATGATTACATTATGATGTAAAGGAAGTTGAGGAATTGGATGGAATGTATTTTATATTCTATTTTCTTGCAAAATACAGACAAATCCACACTATTGAACAGGTATGTAATGATAACAGTATATTGAACTTAAATTCCAGATTGCCATGCATTAACAAACGTCCAAATCTGCTGCCAAATTTAACAGCTAGAAAATCGACCTTTTATTTGCGGCATTCTCATTGGCTTTTGGGGATAACTGATTGTTAAATGTAAATTTATAACACAAATCAAAATACATGAAAGTTTACCTGTTTTCTCTGTACAAAAGCGTCATGTTGGAATCAAGAGGTGGTCTTGTTTATAATACAGTCGAATTTTCACGATTTTATTCAATATTTTAATAGAAATCACTGATATTCTGAGACCCTTGAGAGCTTCTGTCAAATTGCATTTAGATAAGGTATTTTCCCATTGGTCTATAATAATTAACGTTGGGGAAATTGGCCCTTAGTGTAATTTTCGTATTTATCTAAATGCGCAACTTTGCCCCTGTTCATCCAACCCCGTTTCTGACGTCCCAGTGCTGAGAGCTCAATTTGAAACACCCGGTATAGATGGTACGACAGAGCATAAAACCCACCGAATCGTACCTCATAGCTTTTATATTAAAACGCTAAAGTGGGCCAAATGTATCGCGGCTGTGACTGTAGTTATAACAGGAAACAACGCTCAAACCTTGTTTAGACCGTCGAAACACTTGGTATGGGTGCTGTGCTAACAATTGGTCGCAAAGATTACTGCAAAATTTGGCGTTATCCAGAAACCTGCATGAACAATGGCGTAGTGTAGAAAACATGTAAACTGAAGGACAGCTAAAATACTCAACCCTACCAGGATAAGATGCGACGTATTTTATTCCATGTATGAGGCCGCCTTGAATCTTTTGCTGTCCCAATTAGGAATAGAAATACTTTTCTCATATCTTTGCCGCTCGCGCCAGGCAATACCTCTTTCCTGATTCGTCTACGATGGGCTATAGCTGTATGTGAAATATTTAGGTCACTTCAACAGAAACAACAGTCATTAATCATTAAATTCATTTATTACATTAGGTACAATGATGCAGAGACAATTTTGGTATAAAAAGTATATCAAGGTATCGAAAGGGTTAAGGAAAGAATCGATTGGTATAGGCCTAAAATAAGCAGGTATACACAAAGGCACATCTGATGACGGTTACAGTTAAAGCTTATTTTTAACCCTAGAATATTGTTTCGTTTCAACTTTTATCACATCCAAACTTTGTTTTTTACTTCGATTAATCTACACATGTATGTGTTTGTAATTATTATGGCAGAATGCACGTTCAGAATAACGTGATATCTGTAAATATTTTTTCTATCCGATTCTGTATTCATAAATAAGCCAAATCATTCTATGGGCTTTTTTTATATATATTTATGAAATATGTACGTCGTCCAGTTGTCAAGTTGAGTTTCTACAGACCAGAAACTATGTACCAAATGTAATGTTACAGTTCTACACTAATTATACAAAAATATATGTATTCGAAGTCTCGCTTTGCATGCCCGTTCCAAATTGGCATTCTAGAGTTAAAAGTTTCAATTACCAGAACATGTCTGCGTTTACAGCAATACACAGTGGTGATATGGCTTTACGTGAGAATATTTTTGTATTTGGTACACATTGTCGTTTATATTTAGCATGTTATCTTGTGAATAACGATCAAAAAGAAATCGACTTAAAAATCTAATACTGCTAAATATAAAGAGTGTTTTCAATAGTAAATTACCAAATTTAAGGAGAGTATCTAACAACTCATCTTATGACATTGACGCGCTGTGCTTAGGCGAGGACCTGGCGCAGATTCCACTGTACTATAAAAGTTTTGCAATACGGATTCATCTATCGACTTCACTCAAAATAATTTCCACCACATTCAATACACTTGTTCCAAGTCCTCAGAAGGTCCTCATCACTAGAAAACCGTTTTCCTTTTAGCTTCATTTTCACATACGGAAACAGACCAAAGTCACAGGGAGCAAGATCTGAACTGTAAGGAGGCAGCTCAATAGGTTTCAGTCTAGTAGTGGTCAACTACTCGGTGCAGGCTTTGGCGCGGTGAACTGGGGTGTTGTCATGGTGGACGTACCAAGTGTCCATGTTTGACTTTGGTCGCAGGTTTTTCATAGACTCTATGACTTTAGGCAGGCACTGTTCCTATTACCACTTAGCTGTGTCCAAAACGTCACGCTCCTCGATCACGCTCGATTTGAAAAATTCAGCTATCATTTTTTTTCTTAACAGATCGTGATTTGCTGATAGCTCCGGGTGGGACCTCATCATCAAAGACCCAAAGTTTGTTTTGAGCCTTAGTCGGCACATCGTAATAATAGAGCAAAGTCTCTTCGGCATCAAGTCGCATGACGAGCTTTCTGCTCTTCCCTCAGACTATGCGGTACACAAAGAGAACAACAGTTTCGTTATGTGTAAATGGTCATGCCGAATTGAATGAGTTGCTGGTGCATGAAGTTGTAAGGTCTCCTCTATCTGTTGATATGTCTATCTCCGGTCTTCGTCAAGCATTTTCCTCACAGCAGTAATGTTTTTATCTGTTACTGGTGTTCGCGGCCTTCCTTCCCTATCAGCGTCCTGAAATTGCCCCTTTGGAATTTTCTGTGCCACCTGAATATAATCGTACGATGAGGACAATAATTCTTTAATGTAGGCGTCATTTCTTCTAAGCACCGATCTATGCTTAAACCACGCGTAAAGTTATACCGTAAAACTGCCCTTATCTCACTACGTGACCACGATGCCATAGTCTGCACTTTGCACTGTCAATACGAATGAACAACTAAGTCAACAGACGTGCTGTTGGTCGCTGCTATGCACTCATGGACATGTCTCAACAAGCAGTAACATGCAGCCTCCTGTGTCCGTTTGTTATGTCATATTGCAAAACTTTTATAGTACCATTTGTATTATCGGCCCAGTAAAAGAATACGGGTGAAAACAAGCAATTTTTGGCATGGAATGTAATTTTATCAATTGGTGGTGTATAACCTCACAGAAGCAAATCATCATTAACTTAGACGGACCAAAGAGCGACGACAGTTGCGCAGGTGACACCAAAAAACCTACTGGTTTCTGCGCCACCCTGACCGTCCCCCTCCTGCATTCTTTTGCTAGTCAGACGATACACATTTACAACACCTTGATCAACAGCATACGATGCGTCAGGCTCCTTTCCAATTTGGTACTTGACTACACATGAAAAATCAAATTTGTATGAGAGAGAAGCGCGAGAAGTGTGTTAGAAAGAGATAGCAGCCGACTGTACAGCATCATCACATTGCCTAGCAACGGTGACGCATTCTACCGCGTCCCCATTATGTTACGCCAGAAAATGTTCGCACAGGCTTCTAAAATAGGTTAGGTTACTGTCAAACACAAGAAAGAAATCTGTTCGAGCATTTAATTTAATATTTTGTTTTCATTTTGATTAGAATTATTTTATTCAATTTTGATGCGACTTCAATTTAATTTAGAATTATCTTTGATTTCCACCGATGGTGATAAAATCAACAGACCCTGAGCTATTGTTACATTTTGCCACAGAGAACAGTCGGAAAATGTAATAAATACCATTACGCAATACAAATTATCAGTGCCTGCGTGTACGCGGGTGAAAACCATTTCAAAGTAAGACGTACCTCCCCAATGAACGCTAGATTGGTACTGACAAAAATCGCGCATCTATGATCGTGGAGATGGAATCCTTGCCTTGGAATGCGGTGTTGCGAAGCGAACCAATGATGCAATGTTGCAGAATTTGACCTTTCATTGCGATATAAAATGGAGCGCCGTTAGGACCGATCGGGAATCAATCCTAAACAGATTCGACGCAATTCACAATTCAAAAATGTGTACGCTGAAGGTAAAACCATTATTTGGGCATAAAGAATAAACTCACGCATATTTTCCATATGCATTTTAATTTAAGGAACTGGTGTAGTACATTGGCAAAGCGACAGATTGCCGCGTCTGCGTTGCTAGGCAACGCGGTCATGATCTTCGCTATCTTGGCCATTTCTATCTCTTTCTAACATGTGACTATATACACCTCTCTCGTACACATTGGACGCAAGCCGTCAGACAGATTTGGTTCTGAGTGTATATGTCGGCGTCAAACGGTGAAATCCGTCATTCTCTGAAATGCCTAGTCAATCCCCGTATTGCCTGCAAATACCGTAACAGTTTGATTATTACAACGCTTGACTAAGGACTTCAGTCATTCCCTGTAATGACTGAACAATTTCAGTCAAACACCGTAACAACCACATTAACTTCGTTACTGCATTTGCCTGATTCAGTCATTCATTTTACCAGTTTTGTGTTCATTTGCTTGACTCTACACATCGTCTTTTCTGTGTTTGTAAAGATGTCACAGCATTCAGAATTGTTTAGCAAGAAACTAAGTGAATACTATGACAGAGTGAATAAAAGCAAACCGTGGAATAAAAATTAGTTAAAGGATGTAAGTTAACAGCATCCTCTATTGTTGCCGGATTTCGTATATAAATACTAGATTAAAAAAATATATAATTCATCCACGCTGGAGTTATTTATATCAACAATACACGTCCTCGATGCGCGTTGCGCTACCAGTATATTATATCAACTCTTATTTGGTTTGAAAAGCGCGCATCGTGTAAAGGTACGATTCCACCAAAACAGTGTTCAGCACATTTGTTTACAAACATTTTTTGTGAAACTCCAGCATTGAACGTGCTCACTGGTATCGAATTTATCTTCTGTGTCCACCGGCAAAGCAGTGCGTAACTTTTGTAAGCGTACAGTGTAGCACACTTGTGCACGAACATGTTTACCAAGCAAAGTTCTCACTAACCTCAGTTCTCAATATGGACGGGCAGGAAAACGTAGTGATTTGTGCTGCAGCTTGTGTTTTAATATGTAGTCTGCTTAAAAAGAAACGAAGAAGAAAACCACGATGTTGGGTGAGGCCTTTTCTACAGCGGCGGAATGAAGAAACGAATAGATTTGTAGAAGAAATAAAAGTAGATCCCTTAAGTGGATTTAAAAATTTTACTCGTATATCGTGAGAAGATTTTGAGATGCTGGTCAATGCACTTAGTCCTCATATTGCAAAGCAAGACACCAACTACAAAAAATGTGTCCCTGTTTCAATAAGGCTAGCAATTACCCTGAGATATCTTGCTGCTGGAGATTCTTTTGCAAGTTTAATGTATTTATTTAAAGTTTCAAAAGAACTTATTGCTCGGATTGTACCTGAGACTTGTAAGGGGTTGATAAGCGTGCTGAAAGAAAACATTAAAGTAAGAAAGGTAAACCATGTTTATTAACATTTATTGCTACATATCTTGCCAAGTTAATATTTCGCTGTTATGCTGGCGTAAAAGGTCGTCGTCAAAATCACTATTGCGGGCTTGAAAACTTGAAAGCGGTACCTGACCTTGTGAGTTTGACGAATCTGAATAAGGTGAAGGAATTCGAGTCGTAGCATATTTTCAGTACCAATAATCGCGTCATACAACAAATTATCAATGTCCCTTTGGACTAAAATCTTCTTTCGCTCATCTTTAATTTTTCTTAATTTCGTTGCGTCGCCTGCAGCAAAAATGTCGTCATCGTCACGTTTCCTTGCTTCCATCTGCTTATTTACGTTGTCCATAATGGACAAAGCATGGGAAATTCTCGGGTCTTCATCGACAGCACGACGTTTCAACGAGTTCTTTGGAGCCTTAAACTTTTCTACTGGCCTTTCATGAGATGACTCTTGACTTTCATTTACTGTAGTATGTTCTTGTATTAGCTGAAATAATATTTTCTTTTTCAGATGCCTAAAACCGCAGAAGAATGGATGCTGATAGAATGTCAATTTGAAAAACATTGGAATTTCCCTCACTGCATTGGTGCTATGGATGGCAAACATATTGTTATGCAAGCTCCAAATAATACTGGAAGTGACTTTTTTAATTACAAAGGCGATTTCAGCATTGTACTTTTGGCATTGGTTGATGCAAATTATAAATTCACGTACGTAGATGTCGGTTGTAAAGGAAGAATATCGGATGGTGGTGTTTTCAAAAATACGGGTTTCTATGTTAATCTTCAGCAAAGACAATTAAATTTACCTCAACCTACTGCGCTACCCGGGAGGATGACACCAATTCCATATGTCATTGTTGCAGACGATGCTTTTGCATTAGATATGAATTTCATGAAACCATATCCCGGTCAACATGACAAAAGATCGAAAGAAAGAATATTCAATTATCGGTTGAGCAGAGCCAGACGTATTGTGGAAAATGTATTTGGGACTTTGTCCGCTGTATTTCGCGTACTCAGGAAACCCATGCTTTTAGCTCCAGAAAAGGCACAATTAATAACACTGACATGTTGTTATTTGCATAATTTTTTGATGACACAAAAGTCGACTTCACAGATTTACACTTCTCCTGGCATTTTCGACACTGAAAACCGAATTACCCATAGCGCTATCGATGGAAGTTGGCGGCGCGATGCACCCATGGCAAACTTACTGCCATTAAGAAATGTCGGAAGAAGACCAACTGGCGATGCGAAAGATATAGGGGAAGAACTAGCAAATTATTTTCAAACTGACGGAATGGTGCCATGGCAAGAAACACTAGCGTAAAAAGCATACCTAAGTATAATAGAGTTATAAAATAATAAAAAAAATTGAATGTACCTGTTCATTTATTTCATCTTGTGAGTTCATGCTGGTGTTCGGTTCATCCCTTGCATGAAAGAAATTCAAATATGCATAAGCAAACCATTTTGGCTTATATACATCTGAAAACCCAGAACCTGAAGATTTTGAATCCGATATTTTCTTCTTTTCTCTTCGGTATTGAGCCAAAATAATCTTCCACCTTCTCATTACCTCAGTCAAGTCACAATTGAAACTTTGAGTCAACTCTTGAGTGGCGTCGTGTTTTTTGTTTCTATCCTTATAATCATTATGACTGGAATCCCATAGAAGAGGATACGTTTCAACTGCTTGAATAAATCTTATAATTTGATCATTCGTCCAGTCCATTTTTAATTTCGTAAAAAAAGTGCGCGTACAAACAAATGATTTCACTCCAGGAGTGGAAGCAACACTTTGTTCGCGAACAACAAGTATGTACGCACCGACGCGAGTCCACTGCTTGTATATGCGCGCACAAAAGTAACTGATGTGTGCGCGAACGTTTCCGAAATGTTCGCGCACAATTTGCTATTGTTTGCGTGAGTGAGTCGACCAGAAGAACATTTGTGCTGTACACTGTGCATTAGAGTGCCACACAGTTCAGCACACTGGTGGAATCGCATCTTAATGTTGCGATATTGTGAATATGTATGACTCTAAAAAAAAAAAAAATTAAATAAATAAAGAATGTTTGAAATAATATAAAATATAAGATAATTCTATGTAACTTTTATTCGTTTGTCACTTCTCGCAGTTCTGCATTTTGTTTTTTTTTAATGTGTATTGTTTTATATTTCTTTCGATAGTTTCAGGATATTTCTTGTTGACTTAATACACTACTGGTTGATGTCCACAATAATGTAATTATAAAGACAACGATTTAATCTATTCTTCTTTCCTTTTAGATTAACGCATAGTTGATTATTATTCTTTTAATATCATCAATAAAGTAGTACCTTGTTGTTATATATATTATGTACTTCACTGGAGCAACACTGTATTGATTACAGCGTTTGACTAAAATATACGAATGCAGTAACGAAGTTAATGTGGTTGTTATAGTGTTTGACTGAAATTGTTCAGTCATTACAGGGAATGACTGAAATGCTCAGTCAAACTTTGTAATAATCAAACTGTTACGATGTTTGCCGGCAATACAGGGATTGACTAGGCATTTTAGGGAATTACGGATTTCAGCGATTGACGGCGACATATATGGAATGTGAGTCTATGGAAATTACCGAGACTGTCCAGTTCTTAAATAGCTCTACAGTCTTACAGAAAGAACACTCACCTCTGTTCTATTGCCGAAACGAATTACCTGCAAACACGTTTACCAGTGGAAGGTCAATCACATTCATCACTATTATGGTGGTACATAGTATGTTTCACAGTGGATAGGAAACTTGATATATCTGCGAGAAAAACAAAAAATAACCAAAATAATCAGAAATTAATTTATTGTTCTTTTTTGACTAATAACAGAAAAATTATAAAAAACCTAGATTCATAGAATCTTGTAACTTAAGAACAAATTAAATTATAAATGTAACAAATTAAGTAGCACTTTTGTACAGGCATCAACATAATTACATCACTTGGATAGAGAGAAAACGAAAAATCAAAAAGAAGGGTAATAAATATACATAAATTAAGATCAGACTGGTTTTTAAACTACGCTTCAGCAGTTTTATTAACAATATGAACACTTAAATAAATTAAGACTTACAGCTAGACGTACATTTAACATTACATTTACAACAAAATTGTGGCACAACGTCTTTAACATTTTTTTACATATTTTTTCAACAGGTAACAATTTTTGTGGCACAACAAGAAAAACATTTAATGTATATATACTTTATAGTACAAAAAATTGTGCCCAACCAATGCGCTGAAAGACAACGAAGGTTTTGTACATGTCATCAACAATCTCTATTTGTTATAACAAATTTATATCAGCTCTGGCTAAAACTATGTAACACAGAATTACATGAATGCTAAATCAGGCATATGAATTGAAATTACAAATATCGGTCGAAGGTCTCGTTTTTCAATCGCAGATTAACTATGATCTTGACTTTGCTTGAAAGTAAACTACCAAAAAACGTTTTACAGCATGTCGTTTTCTCTGGTCAGTTATGACTATCGCTGACTAGCGACTAACTCCCAAACCCAAAAGGCGTTCAACAGCTATAGTGTACTTAACCAGAACTCAAGAATTATTTATGAGCAACTGATAGTTAACCTCCAGACTCACTCAACTCGAATGTATCGCTACGATTGTCAAACCGGAGAGAGTTCCATCCTTTCAACGAGAGTTAACCATGAACTATCAAGGACAATGTTAATTAGTAGTTGTAGTTAAACAGTAATGCTTCACGCATTTTACTTGATGAGTTGTCACGTCAACGTCAATAACTGTGGGTTAACTAACTGGAACTTGAAAAACTTTAAGGGGTAATTAGTTAATTAAAGGTTAGATTGAGCAAATCATAGCTAACTTGCGAATGAAACCCGGGCCAAAGAGAAAGATGTTTATTTTCTGTCATAAGAAGGATCATAAAAGTAGTTCCATCCATTCACATGGTTTGACATTAAACTATAGGTATGTTTACATGCGTGATCTATAATTATTATTCTAGCGGGAAGTTTTACCACGGTAACATTTCAGAAAATATATTTTCGATGTCTTCCTGCATCAAACCGTATCATTTTAAAACGAATTTGTTTATCGACTTCAATATACAAAAATATCGTTTATCTTTAATTTCTAATGCCCAAAGAAACGTAGAATTCGTCACGAAACACAGATAAAGACAAATTCATAACACCTTTAAACGTCATATATTTAAAATTTAATATCAAAAATAGAGAAAATAAATTTACAAACCTACTCTCACAAAAAAATAAAAGTAACGAAATGTACAAATATCACAGTATTCGTATATCGTTCTATGTATGCATTTACTACTTGAGATGTCTGATGGAGATTCAAAATGAGTACGTAGGTGTATCTTTCTATTATATTTTGTACTGAAATACTCCTGGCACCTCTTGTATTAAACAACTCACTAGTCGAATACTAAAAAACAATAGGGGTAGTAGTATTAATATGCCACTGCCCATCTGGCGACCAGATCTAAAACAGAACACAGAACACAGTGACAATCACCATAGTCGTATCTTCTATTTTGGCATCTGGCTAGAATGGGAAAATTTGGATGACAAACACTTGCAAAGTGAGGTAGCAATGATTAATAAAAACACGTGTACTAATATGTTTTGATTGACTATACATGCAAACACTTTTCGAAGTATCATTCACTTGTCATTATTCTTCAGTCAACTTTTTTAATTTTACGATTTACGTTGCCCGCGGTCAAACATCTCAATGTAAATCCATCATGTTAATGTCCAATATTCATGTCTTTATTTATACTACTGCCGTCATGTATTCATATTACTAACTATATATAAAATGTTAATCGGGTGATCTTAGTATCTACATAACATAATATAATCGAAACGTCAATTTTTGTTGTTTTCTTCGGGTCTTTGATATGTACACGTCTTCATTATAAATTCGTATCTCCATATTATTTATTTATCCCTAAAAGTGCTGCTTGGCGAGAGTTGAATTTACTAGATCCCAAATTAGATCGCGGATATTCTCAAAATATAAAAATTAATTATGAAATTTGATATTAGAACAAAACTTTGACGAATCGATCATCTTTACAAAAAAAAGAAACACAAACGAAACGACACGGGTGTAACGAAAACAAGTGATTGCCACTGATCATTTGGCACGGTTCGATTTTTTGTCTTTTTAGCTGCAAAGGGCGGTCCAAACAATACAAATTTCTACAAAAAGTTGTCGCAGTACATCTAGCAAAACATTTATGTATAATGGTGGTTGGAATAGTTTCAAAATCTGATCACTGTACCTACAGGGTGAGCTTTTAGTGTGTGGGCTCAGTAGATAGCCCCGCTATTACGCGTGATATCTAAACAAACTAAATTCAAAAACTGTATTCGACAGTATGGTCATATTCTGGAAAATATTTTTATCTATACAGGGTTATTCATAACTAGAATACTGAGGGTTTCGTCAGAAAAATTGTATGTTACAAACTTTTCCTATTATATACGTGCTTGTTCGGTTATTTGAATGGTTTATACAGGGAGGTAACGCAAAAGCGAGTATTTCTCAAAATTTTCAAATGAAACAGCCTGTTCATTTTCTCATCGTTTCTACAAGATTTTTTTCTGATATAATCTTTATAAGGTTTGTATCTCTAGTTTTTGAGTTACTAGGAACATAGGGACACGTTCTTGACTTTTAGGCTTTACTGCAATATCTCAACAATTTGAAAATCAAACCCTTTAGTAAGTTAAATCAAATCGCTTTGTTTAAAAGGAACTGTCCAAATCTGTAATAAAATGTAGGACTTTATATTAGAGAAAACTAAATTTGGGTTACCACGTAGTTATGAATCATCCTATAGAGATGAAAATATCTGCTAAGTAAGAGGCATACTGCTGGCTACAATTTTTGTAATTATTTTTTTATTTAGATATAATGCGTAATGAACGATCGAACCCACATTAAAAACCCACTCTGTACATGCAAACTAACCAAATAGGAGTGAGGCAGTCGTTAAGACAATAGCGTTTCGTCTATTTTTGGCTAGCAAATGAATAAGGAGAATTAAAGATAGAAGACACACGGAATCATTATAGAAGTGCGTGGAAATCTAGTTATTGTCTATATACGAAAAGATTCACTACTTTTTAATTTTTATTTTATCTTTTTATTTATAAATATTATATTATCATCAACAGTTTCCTGACTGCAATTTCTTTTTCGTATCGTTGACATTGACTTTGATGGACAGTCACATTGTAGCTTTTCTAGGGTTAATCCTAACTCACGTATTTTTGGATCGCCCTATAAATATTTTCTACTTCGTTAGATAAACCGTTAGTCGAAGAGTTGTAGAGACGAAACTGGCCTGGCAATATGCGCATGGAATGGACTGAGATCTTCACTAGAGGCAAAACATGGCAAGAATGTGCAAGAATTATTAGCTGAATTACGACCTTGTAGGTTAGCGTTTGTTTATAACTCACGCAAATGCAAACAAAATATGCATTATTCGTATCAGTTAAAATTGGTAAAATATAGACCCAAGCTTATAAGCTTTGCTGGTATGATTGTACAGGAAGAATATGAAAAATTCTGTTCGCTGTTGTACTAATTAACAAGTCTCTAGATGGCTTTATAATCGAGTTGTTACACTTGGCTATCAAGAATGCAAGAAGAAATGTTTAGTCGTGCTAACAAAATAGATAAGAATGAGAAACTAATTAAATACGTAAACATTAATCTGTAATCAGTTTTCGAAACTAAAGGAAAATCATATTTATTGGTGCAAAATAGTGTCCGCCCAAAATTCTTGCACAATACGGCAGCTGTGACCAAGAATACTTCTGGGAATATACTAGCGACTAGATTCGATAACTTTTTCCATTAGTCTAAAATTTAATTGATAAGATTTTACTTCTTGTAAAAATTTGGCCCCAATTAAGTATTTTTGGTGGATCACAAGTTATGCACGGAAAAATATCGGAAGTAGATTTTAAACATCTATAACATCAAGCGTAGCTGGACATAAAAATGATTCGAAGCCACAGAACTGCTACCCCTGTCTAATAAACTCGCACTAGGAGATGGTGAAATACACGTTCTGCATTGAACGTATCATGTCCAACTACTATGAACCAATAATTCGGAGAGCTGTTTGCATGTAATGATATATCATAATTATATATATATATATATATATATATATATATATATATATTTCTTTTTTCGCCCACCAAACAATGTGAAGACCCCTCACGTAAAATTTACACACAAAGTGAGGTCCATATACGAAATGTATGTGGTAAATATTGAAGCTTCTGAAACAGTCAACAACTACGAGTACCTCTCTCTCTCTCTACTGACGGATCACAGCTACGTACCAAACAAAGCGAACTTTGAGAAAAACTAGTTAACATAGGCAACCTTGTACGGTCCTCACTCAGTATGCGCTAAGTGAGAATATATCCTGAAAGGTCCTCACTTTGTTTATTGTAAGTGTTTCAATATACGGACCTCGTTATGTTAGGAGCTCGGTCGGTCCTCACTTTGTACTATATACAAGTTATAAATTTAAAATAGTTTTTTCCTCGTATACTCGCCACTTTTAGATATAATAATGGTGTGCTTCCAGATCATGCCTAAAACCACATCTGTACCTGCATTCCTTCTGATGGTCCCCACTTTGTGTGGTATACAGGCGGTCCTCACATTATATGCCAGCCCATATATACGTATATATATAAGTAAATAATGGGCTATATACCTTTCGCCGCATGATCATTTTTTCTTTATATATATATATATATATATAATTATATTATCTGCACCCTGTTTACATGGCTAAAAATAAGGATTTCTAAAGACGTCTGTCAAGCAGTTAATTTTTAATTTGTATCTAGTCATGGCTTCGTAAGCATTCTGGACCAATTTTTTGAAGGGCTCCAGAAAAAAATTAATAGGTGACAAATATAACTGGAAAATATAGATAAAATATATAGAAGTAATGAGTTTAACAGAAATATCTGAATTTTGTAGCAGATGGAAAATACCAAATTTTAATACTGAAAGTTAAAAGTCCTTATGCAAACAGCTGTTGAACCGAATTAAGGTATGAATGGAGGGTACAACGCCATTAATACACACTGCCACGAAGCAATTGACACAAAATAAGGCTACGTCTACACGAGTTACGAGTTGAGCTGCCCGCGTAAACCTACCCTAACAAAGAAAGGACATTTTTATATAATAATGAGACAAGTACGTACGAACCAACGTAGCCTACAACGGATGCTCAGTCTTGATATGTGCATGAGAGGAGGTCGCCGAAGACGATGTGGTGGCTCCGCCTAGCGGTTCGGGATCGAACCGGGTGTGCGTGCGCATGTGCCTGGTGATCATGTCCCTGCGGCATGCCGCGTAGGGACACTGAGGGCACTTGTAGGGCTTCTCACCCGTGTGGGTGCGCTGATGAGTTGACAAGTGGTCTGATCTGGAACAAAGGCAAAAACATGGTAAAAATAAAGTCAAGCAAGGAGGTCATCATGGAAAACAAAGATGATCATGGCCAAAGCATCGAGTGATCCGCATGATTATTTCAAGAACTTGTAGTTGTTGATGGAAGACAAAAACATCATAACGGGAATCTTTGAGGTTATACTCGTACCTCTGAAGGTCAAATGTAGTATATTCAAGCAAGTACTAACTAACCTGTTCCGAAATAGTTTCCGTATAGCTATCAGAAGGTCACCTATAATTTGCCCTCTAACTTTAAGGTAATTAGAAAAACTTTTATAAAAAAAACGACGTCAAGTAGGTTGACTCTGCACTTAAGCTCAGCACAAGTTAAGCCCGCTGAGAAAAAAATTAGTTACGAACATGAGAAATTAAACGAATCAAGTCAGTCAAACAGGCCCATATAGTTAGTCCATCATTCGAGCAGAACAATGTAGCAGACCGTTACGCCGCCCAACTAGCAAAGTAGTGGTATAAGCTTTTGGTAAAAGAACCGTTCAGCCATAAAAGCTCTCTATTGTTGTTGCCTGAACACCAAAATGCTGGCTTAATGTTGTGTGGAATGCAGATTTGCTTTCTGCAACATATTTGCTCTAAAATGAAGTGTTTAAAATATTCTTATAGCATAGTTGTACAACACCTTATAGGGCAAATTTTTAACTGTTGCATAAACGTTTATACAACTATTTTATACAGCATATTTGCACGTTAGTCAAAATGGTTGTGTTGTGGCATCCATGGTAACGTTTATAAAACAAACCCGAGCCTTGTTGTTTTGCTGTGCATATTACTACTTCCCCAACAAGTTGCTCCCAACGCAAGCACTTATACAACTGTTGTTTAGTAACTGTTAAAGGCTGTGCATATGCTTAATATGTTGGTAAACAACTTCACCATAACCTAACTTTCTGCTGTCATATTTTTGTAAAATGCCATAATCAATGTTTTAAGACAAACAACGCATGCATATCGGTTCAAAAGGTTTTATCAACTGTTCAAACAGAAGATATAGATCTGGTACAAATTCTGGGTAAATCATTCGACTCTGTCGGTATTTAATTTCAGACATTTGTCAAATTGTTGTATAACACCTGCAGGCAACACCAAAATATTCTAATAACCTAAAGACAACATGGACGATGCCATGATTGTACACAACCACCCGCCATATTGGGCAAACATTTATTCCTCTATTTAATATCAAATAATTATGTTTCAGTTCGAAATTACAGATATAAGGTGATAAACATTAGTGTAATTGTGTCTAAATATAGGATTTGTGGAAGATTTAACGCAGATAAGTTCAGTTTTCCATTTTAAAAATCTAGACATACTTTTGATCATTGTCAAAATATGAATCAAATACGAAGCCCGTAGAAATTGGGTAATTAAGAAGCACGAAAATCACAATAAAATTTGCTGCGCAAGTAATTCAATAGCCCTACATCACAGTGTAGAAGTTTATCATATACCTGTGTATGAAATTCACAATGGCCGATATGTAAGTAAACAAGATGACTGTAATGTGTTAGTTATATGTTCTTCACTTCGTCTATGTCTATACAATACATAAGAAATAGTTTGGTTGCAATAAAGTAGAATCACGTAACAGAATAGTTGTATAGTTGACAAAAACTGAATCTTGCACTGACGCAAATGTCCTATAGCGGCTGCAAGAGGCTTACACTTTTGTTTTATAACTGTTACCTGCAGCCCTTATACAAACTCTTTAATGACTGAAGTGTCCTATTAGGTGTGCCCATTCCGCTTGTATAGCTGTTCTAAGATGGTTTTGCCAATGTTCTTAAAGTATACAATGCTGTTTAAGGAATACTGTATAATTATTCTTGCAACTCTAATAGGAGTGATAATTGTTAGTTGGGCGGGCGCTGAGCCCAGATATTAGGAGACGTATATCAAAAACACTTTTCTGTCAGGATGTTTGAGCGATTTTCATTGTTTCGTTTTTTACAAGACTTTGACGTCCTTGGCATAGTAATAATCTTGCGTGAACGTTCCATCCAAGGGACATAGAGGCCAAGGACTACCGGACAGACAGACCGATACACAGACCATCGGAAATGAGTGGACATGGTTTTTCGTGATGTACATATCATACAACATTCAAAAAACGTATCTGATTTTCCAAATTTTACGCAGTTACGCCCAGTAGTGTAGGAAGTAAAAACATACAGACACTGTATTTAATTACCGGAAATAAATATTGCGGACCTTCCTATATTCTTGCTTTTTTATTTTGGACGGTAAATTAGATCGTCATACTATTTCCGGCATCCAAAAATGTAGTCTTCGGTCAATATGACGTTGAACGTTAATATCACGCATCCCTTTTTATTAAGTATTCTTGTTACTTTTGGTCTAACTGTTTTGGTGTGTGTATATAGAGATGACTGAAAAACAGTATATTATCAATTTCTATCAAAAACTACGTTCTTGGTGCATTTTTTATGTTTTATCCAAAATCATAGCTTGTTAGCAAATAATGGAACAGCTCTGAAGTTGTTCGAGAACACTCCACTTTTATAGTAGATCAATTTTTAAATACCTTTACTTTTCTTGAAAACTCATTTTTTATCAAGCAACATTTGTGCTTGATCATGCATTTCAAACGCCAAATTGAAGTGTTCAAGGACATATCTGAGCCAATCTGCTCTATTCTATAACTCCTCAAAAACATACGGTCCCGTTTGAAAAAATAGATATAATGCCCATTATAACATTGAATATCAGGGTAAGAGTCAAGTTCAAATTACTATTAAACAGCCGGAAGCAGAGGTTCTCATTTTTAAAACAGAACATATATATTCATATGACCTTGAAAACTAAAAAGAAGGGTCAGATAGGAAGCAAATGTTCAATAGTTAGTAAAGATTGGAACAAAAGGTTTTCCTCTACGCTTCGGTTTCAAAAGATCTAAATATAATTCAATTCCAATTCCACCCCAGAATCACGACACCACTGAAATGCGTAACGCGCCGTCAACTCGACAGTCCCATATGATCACGTCAAGGTTGATCACTCGTGCTTTTGCAAATTTGTTGTATAATATAAACTAAAACTTACCTAGAAAACACCTGTCCGCACACTCTGCACGTATACGGCTTGACACCTGTGTGCAGCCTCATGTGTCTGGTGAGCATGTCGCTCCTCGCAAACGACCTCTTGCAGACCTCACACAGATATGCCTTGGTCGCCTCACCGCTTCCCCCGCCGTTTTCCTTCCGTTTGTGCCTACTGGCCATGTGCTTGGCCAATCGGTCGTGAAGGCTGAACATCTGGCCGCACACGGGACAAACGTAGGCCACGTCCGAACCTGGAGGCATTTCCTCCACGACAGGACTGACCTCCAGGTTGTAACGGGAGGCTACGGATTCCTTCGTCGTTGGGGAGGCTACGTCCCCTTTGATCACAGGTACCTGGAACCAAAGAAAAAAGTTCGATCAGTAATGTAATTTTTTACGTAGATATTTATAAACGCGACACGCGGTCGCAACCTTCATAGGATGAGCATTCTCTGCGTGTCTGGGTCTGATTGACTCCACCACCAAGTCTCTCGAGTTACTATACTAGTATGGTTCAGCACCGTTGCCAGCCTCATCAAATGGTTGGGGACTATAGATTATGGACTAATTGCATTCTATTTGGATAAATTAATCCATTTATGAACTTATGACAACTTTGCGTGGGAAGTGCAGAGTCAGCCTACTTGACGCCATTTTTTGTCCCAGGTCAAAGTTTGGCTAAGCATTACTTTTGTAAATAAGTCTCCTATATATTTTTTGTTCTATAGTGAACAGAAAGTTGAAAATCATCCAGAGAGAATTTTGACTACTCCCCAAAATGACTAAAAAATCGAAAAACATCGACAAAGTTTGAGAACGTTCTGAAATTCGATTTTCGATCTCTGCCGCTGTCACTAGACCGATTTTCTACTTCCTGCGGAGCCTTTTCGGTATGAGCAATGGAGAAAGCACACGATCGATAGACAGACTCGACACGTAACTACATTCCAGGTAACATCTAGAAAACGATATCTCAATTGCGATTTCTTCAGGTTACAATACTTCGTCGCCAGCTCGCATGGGAAGTAAAAGCAATCGAATTTTTGGATCGCTAGTATTGCCAATTTTATTCTTTGGCCAATATGAAAAATTCCAAGTCCAAAAAGTGGCCTTACGTAAGTTGACTATGTACTTCAAGGGCTAATCTGTCATTAGTTCGTATAGGATTATGTTTGGCACAATTTAGTCCTTCTAAGAAAAAAGTAAGCTACGAACATGTATAAAAACAATTAAATAACTTTTCTCCTCCCCGTGAGAGGAACTGCTGCAGGCGCGCATAATCGTTGCGAGGACATGATGAGTGACATATGCCTAATATGTGCGTAGAAATACTGGGGCTGGAGGCGTATAAATATACAAACGTCAAAAAATTGTGATATACTGTCCCCCTCCATGCAATCTCTAAACCCCCATCTTTAACCCCTACAAGATTTTTTACTGAAAATTTTATTAGGCAATAATAAAACACTTACCGAAACTGGACCCCTAGGTGGAAACAACCCTGGCGGCAGCAGCTGAAATGGGGGCGGCGCTATGCACTCCTGGGACTTGGATGTCTTCATCGACAGATCCAGTGGCGAGTCTTGAGGCGATGACGCATCCGACTCCAGCGACCCTTTGGGTGTACTGAGGGTGAGGGGGTGTGGCCATAAGGGCGGTTTAGCCTCGAACCACATGGGCAGATCGGAATCGCTATGGGACCGCCTCCGGAAGATATCTGGCAGGTACTTGTTGTGCAGGTAGTGCTCGAAGCTGTAGGGGGTTGGAGTGGGAGGGGAAATAGGGGAGGCAGGGAAGAAACGATCGTAGGGGTGTAGTGGTGGAGGATGGTGCGGCGCGGCCACGCCGGTCACGCATTGGTAGCAGGGACATGTGGAAGGGGGTGGGCGGGGTAATAAGGGAGGGCTTGAGCTCGCTTCGTCTTCCTTGATACGCAATGGGCTGAATCTGGAACAACAAAAACATTGCTATAGTTTCCTTTAGTATACTCAGCTACCAAAATGGAAGAGAGTAACATAACACATCGTACGCTACTACAAGTCCAAAACGTCTCTATATTGGCAGAGCTGGTGCGCGTAGGTTCCGTCGCATTAAAAGTGACATACCAGGTGCTCTGTTTCAGTAGCAGGCTATAGTAACTGTCTGAGTAAAAGACAAAATAGTTGAGATACAAACGTCTTTACAACACTATAACAGGAAACCCTCAGTTATGTAATTATGTATCTTCGGTCATTCTTTATAGTATTTTATAGGTAAAGCGGTGCGCCCTATGTGAATAAACCGGTTTGTTTATAAACCAAATTTGAGAAAACCTAAAATAACTCATTTATATAGCATTAATGAACTTGTTGATAAGGTTATTTCTATGTACTGTTTATGGCTCGCGAATGTATTTAAATCGTAATCGTAAATTGGATGTTTCCATCTCAAGCCACGTAGGTTTGCTTATCTGGTTCAAGTGACGTTAGTAGGACCGTCGTCATGGTTATAGTTGAGCTCCTTCATAGCCTTGAATGTTCCGAATTGAGAAAGAGGTTAACATTTTTGGATCGAATGACGATAACTTCAAACAGTATTTATTAAGAACATGACAGGACGGTGCTTGAAATCTATATCTTATCGAATGATTACGTTCACTTAGCCTTCTTTGCTTTAAACGGCACTCAACGTTGTCCTTTTAGACATTGTTATTTCTGAACAGGAAGGTCCCAACCTCCAGAAGATTTCGCCTTGTCTGTATTACAGAGGTTTCAAAGATTAAGAACAACCTCGTTATCAATTAGAGTCTGCCCTCATGATTTTTGTTACGATTTGAAAAATATTTGTGAAAATTGACTCACCTTATCCTAGGCGACTCCGTAGAGGAATGCGGCGACTTATTACTCGAACTGGCCGGGCTGAAAACATCCTCATCCTCGCTCTTGTACCTTTCCCTCTCAGTGCCGTCGAACTTGAACACCTCCGCACTCCTGTGCCTTTTGTTGGGACTCAACTCTCCGCTGCCGGTAGCCGTCGCCGTTGGTTCATCGCCCTTGTTGTTGTTGTAAAGCTGCTCATTATTGTTCAGCTTTAGGGGCGGTAAAATAGGGGGCAGGTGGTCGACAACGCCCCTAGGAGGCGTGGAGCCCCCACCCGTGCTTGTTAGACGATCCAGCACCTGGCTCAGTCGCTTGCGCTTCTTCTGCTTGGCGGGAGTACGCGTGTGGTTGTGGTTCACCACCTATAACAATAGAGAATGCTCTTGTCAAGGTTGTACATCTTCTTGAGCAGTAACAAAAATATTCCGTTTAGTCAATCACGTTTTATCTGTATTACAAGTAGGATAGCATAAATATAGATAATGCCGTACATTACCGCTTAGTTAGCGATATAAGCAACTAGTATACAGTTTAACACATGCGAAGAGGCTCTTACATGCTGAGAAATCAAAACTAATCTTCCGGTAATAAAAATGTTTACCCAGCGATAAAACATAGTAGCAGTACCTGAGATGCCAGAAGATCCAATATCATATATACTTCATCTTTATTAGGAAATAATGATGTAACGAATATTGAATTTTGCGAATATTCGCATGTTTCTTGATATTAATACTCGCAAAATTAATTAATGCAAAATTTTTTTGTAATTATTAATATCAGAAAAGAGAACAAAAGTAATATTAAGAACATAAATGGAAAAAAAATACCAGCTTATTATTTTTTCACTGGAAAATCATGCTGTAACAGACAAAGACTATTCTTCACATAATTTTTTCCCTTGGGATTTTAATTGGATATTTCTTATAAGAAGCCATAATTATGAAACAAAAATTTCAAATAAACAAAGCTATATTCTTTTTTTACTTTCATCAGTCTTTGATTATAAATACTTTACACAACAAAAAATTCAAATAAAAACGTCAATTCTTTTCTTGAACTTCACCTCGAGAAGAATTTTTTTTAAATAAACTCAAAAGTTATCATTTTTATTCTATTCTTATTTTTTGACAACAATAACCAAAGATCAACTATAAGAATACTGAACCACAAATTCAAAACGTGGCAGCTTTTTCTCCTTCAGGTTCGACGTGGTGTATACACAGAAAAAACTAACGATTCGCATCTGCGTTACATCACTATAATGCAAAAATATGATTTACAGAAAATACATGAATGACGTGTAAGCGGCGCGCCGCGTCGGTAGCGATTCGAAAGAATTTCAAATTTTCAATTGAACCTTTTCTCCTGACTTGAGCACAAGTCTGATTCTTGAGCTACTTGTATCTGAACTAAAAGATTTAAAACTTACAAGTGGATGATTGTTGTTCTTGTTATCATGCGCATGCGTAGCGGCGGCCTCGGCCATCGTCATTAGCGCGGGGCGGCGAAGGGCCGCGGTCCCTCTGTCTTTGGGCAGCGAAGGGCGGCACTGCTGCGGAAGGGCGACTGCAAGTGGCGCTGATGCCTATAGGGTGATGTCACCATACTCCGAAGATGATCCGTGTTTTAATCACGTGTACTGGTCTGCAAATATGCTGGAACAAAGAGAAATGCATCAAAAATCAAACCAAAAACTAAATTACTGAAAATAACGAAATCGAGCAGATTATGCCTCCATAAGATACTCATTGTTAGTGCTGCTGAGCAAATGGAACATTGCTCTGGGTACCAAGATATGAGGGGCACAAAGGAAATGAGAAGGCGAATGAGCTAGCTTGACAGAGTGCTGGCAGTTGGTGTATAGGTCCAGAGTATTTCTGTGGCGTGACGAAAGCACGCATCAAACAATCCATGAAACGTCGCACCAATAAAAAGTCTCTAGAATTGTGGAACAGAGAGTTGCAAAGGCAAGCAAAAGAGTTCATCAAAGGACGAAAGCCTGCATCTTCAGTTGGTCGTAATTGGATGTAATAGGAAGGCCCTAAGGGCCACAGTGGGCATACTAATAGGACACTGTCATCTAAATCGATATATGAGGCAGAAGGGGCCACATGGTGTTTCTGCAGGGAGCACTAGGAAACCCCAGCATCTCTTGTGTCATAGCAAAGTTCTGGCAAGGATACAGGTTCAGATATCAGGAATCTCAAACCGATCATCGGAAGGATAGATGCAAAGTCCCGTGTCAAACTTATGGGATCCGATTAAGGAATCAAGGCTGGGCACAAAGTTTTAGATAGTGTATATGGGTGGGGGGTCACAATAGATGTATATCGGTTCTAGTGCCGTTAAGCCAACCCATCTTAAGTAATATAATCTGATCCAGTCAAGTGGTGCCCAAATTTAGTTCTTAAAATCGTAACATAGTTGAAGCTGTTATTATGGTGTCATCAAAAAGTATTTAGATGATTTATTCTAATCAGTACCTGAATTAAAATAGGCGTTAAAGATTTGTTAGAATCACTCTATCAATTTTCAGTTCTACTACTGTCTTATACGTCGATGTCGCTAGTGTCTTTCAGATCCCTTTATGGAAGCAGTACACACAGTGGACGGTTGGCTATCGGTTAGAATACGTTAATCAATGTTAGCAATGTATCCAACATTCACTGAGAAACATTGACATTACAGTTTAAAATTATCTCCTCATTCTTCATAAATGTAGTTTCAAGTGGACCTAAAAAACCTTTCATCAGGTGTAAAATAACTTCAAAAAGCATAACTACCCGCTGGGCGATATAGATATAATAATAGCTCCCGCAGCAGTGACAAGTAGTACTGAAGCAGCAGTAGCAGTGAAGAAAAGCAAAGAAGCAGGTCACGCGATCTCCGAAACAAGTGGCGGCGGCGGCGAACTGAGTCAGTGCGCGAGCGAGCGGTGTCGATGGCCATTCGTCGCCGGCGAAGCAGTACCTGCGGCACACAGGCAGTACCGCCACCGCGTTGCGGCGGCTGTAGCACCTGATACCACTTGCGCGCTTGGCCGTGCTGCTGCCACCGCTCGCTCGCGTCCCCACTTGACCTCCTTACTGAATATATGAATGGAGGCATGCGCCAAAGACCTTATACAATACTAGATCGCACTATTTTCCAGGAAATTAGAATTTATGGAATAAATTGTATAGATGGATTTTACAACGGCATATTTGTTGAGACTGAATGGAAAGGTTCTCCACCTCGAGCGACAAAAAAAAAATAGCTGGGTAATTTTATTTTATTTATTTTAATAAATCTCAATTATTCATAAATGTATTAAATATTGTCAAAACTGCATGGACATCCCTTCAAAATGAATTATTTTGATTTGCTGCAGCAAATTGATGACGTGAAGACGTGAAAACTCATTTTAAATGTCTTTCCATCCTCTACAACTAATCTATATAAGAACACTTCATAGTTTCTTCTCTACATAGCTAGCCTAGCTTCACAAAACGTCAAGTGGTTTCAAATATAGTTGCTTCAATCACAATACATGAAATTTTTAACTAGATTGTAAACTAATATAGCTATTATAATCGGTATAAATTCTTGATTCTTGAGGAATACTTGTGTGTACCTTCTTTTAACAAATGTATGTTTAGCTCCATCTCGCCTCCTGGCTCTCTCATGATTTGTAGAAACGGTCATAATAATATCAGCCCATTTTATTAATTTTCAGCTTCTACTTGGATGCATCCGAAACGTTCAAAACTGTCGTTTATAAATATGCGCAATATCTATTATTGGTGAGGTTATGCATCAGATATACACAGCCAAGCGTTAAGCCTCAGAGTCACGTCACTTTTTCACTCTTAAAGAAATACGACGATCCAAAATCAATTCATGTAGCGTCATTTCTGTAACCTTCTGCTACTCAAAGTCCTATCATATGTTGCCTGGAAATATTTCGGAAGTTCTCAAATAAAACATTTTCATAGATTTCGAATTTTTATTTTGCTGCTTCCCACATTTTCCGCTTCCGCTGCCATATTGTAAAAATGGTAGCCTAAGCTTTTAGGCAATATCTCATTACCAAGTCATTTTACAATGAAAAATGAAAGCAGCGATCTGATGAACTGTAATAAACAAAAAATATTTTACAGATATTGTAAAACTTTCCCAATGACTTAAGCAATTATTATATTGCTAATAAATAGTATGCGGCAAGGTAGACTCCAACAAAGGAATAAGATCATATTGAGATCTCCAAACATAGAGACGGTTTCAATGGATCTAACCTTCCACGACCCCTATGCTATGGCTGGAACTGAATTGTATATGCACTGGATATACATATAGTAAAAGTTCTAACAATTACCCCATACCTTCTAGGATGCTCTAAAAGCTCAGGGTGTGATTCTGGATCACCCAGATCAACATACCATATGATATTGTATCAGACTGCCCAATCCGTGAAGAAGCTTATGTAAATTGATGGTAATCTTTGGTTCTTCCGTCCACAGACGACCAACCATGAACAACTATTTCGCACTTTTTGGCAACTCCTCAGCATGCTCTAGGCTTGGTATCAGGTAGAAAAACGACCGGAAGCTGAGCAATGCTAGTTGCTCCCAAGCGGCGATCGAATGGTTATGCAACATGATTATCGATATTAAGGTTAAGGTGAAATGTTATGTTGCGACGTTTAATATGGTTTTAGTCTTATATTACTCATTTTTAAATATTTGTGATCATTTATATTTTGTTTCATTATTAATATCGTATTGAGAAAAATGCATAAGCTGAATATATATATATATATATATAATATGTTTGTCCGAATGCTAATAATGAGCTTCTAAGCTAATATTTTCTATCGCTTCAATCTAGGCATCGAATTGTCATATCTCTGAACTATCCTGAGGCGCTAGGCTCGACCACTCCAACATTAGCCAGCTCATATAAACGTTGTTAGACGCTCCCAAGTCGCGGTTAAGAACCCACTTAAGTCCCAATTAGTTGCTGTTAATTTCGGTTAGCGTTGATTTTTTTTAATTGTAGGTTTCGATGTGTAATTTGAAGAAGGTAACGCACACACATCTTCTTTTCTTTACGCTAATTGGTGGTAATTTCGAACCACAAGGAACAATTTGCGTTACAGACTAGTAATGAAGGTGGTGATTAACATTTAGCTCATTAATGCCAATGTTGATTAGGATACAATGTTGATATAGATGTATTATATAGTATATAGTATAACATATTTTCACAACATGAGAGTCTATATAAACAATGATTTTTGTCCCTGAAAATAACTCAATTTTCAAGTTTAACGAATCTATCGAATGTTTACATTTATATATTTTTGAAAATGTTGAACTTTCGTCAACATTTTTTGTCCAAAATTCATCCATTTCTATAATGAAACACAAGGACGCAAAACTAATATCAAAATGAAAGGGTTGCTGCACTGCGGTCACATTAAAAACAAAAGCATTATAACTGTATATTGGTTTGTTACAAGTAATGTGAGCGCCAAGAAAGCAACACTTTTATTTTCATGTTTTGCATCCTAGTGTGTTGTATTATATATTTGAAGTAGAAAGTTTAGCGGCCACGCGCTCATATAAAAATACTGCGTTAAGTAAATGGGTGAATTATGAACAAAAATGTCAAAATTGTGAATTTAAGGGTTTTAAAAGAAATCAGGAACTAAAATAAAAAGAAGCAAAAATGTCATATGCGATCAACATGAAATTCAGTTATTTTCAGGGCTGAAAATACCGCTTATAGACCCTGACCCTTTAAGTATATATGTATATCCTACTTACACACAAACTGAAGATCAAAAGAGCTGCAAAATGTTATTCGGCATAAGTAGTGAGCTATACAGACTCTAAAAAGATTATGCTCTTTAGATGTTCAAATATTTGAACCCTTACAGATATGTATTTCTATAGAATCAAGTAATCAGCATTCCCGTTCCATGAAACCTACCAAAATTATCACTGAGATTATACCGTTACAATGACGACAGAAAGTCAGGGAGATGAAAATGCATTGCCTCGATTCAGTAGCTTCTATGAGCTTTAACATAACGCAAGTGTTATCCTCCATCCAATTAAAAAGCTATCCAAGCACTATGTTCTGATTACCTCGATATCTGTCATTCAGCTTCTACATTCTATTAATTTATAATGTATGAAACAGTCAAGTGGAAAAAGAAACATTACATGAGGTTTCATTTAAAACTGTACTTACAAGTTTAACAACAAAAATTACAACTCGTCAGCTCTCGGACTATCACAAAATGCACCCGCGCTCGTGGTCGTGAAACAAATGAATCTCGACTAGAACACGTGGTGCATTGCGGGGGTGTAATGCATTCCTGTACCTTGTTGCCAAATTTTCATTTTATTAGCTGCAAGTTAAGATCCTATTCGCAAAAGAGACTAACTCTCTATGTTCTAATAGTGTAACTCTTGTTCGGTGGACTATTATTTCCATCAACCAAGTATTTTCATCCAGCAATTTTGACTATTATGTTATAATACTGGATTTATACCATAGCATATGCAGTCATGGCAAATCGAAATTGCATGACAAAATATATGACTGGGTTGCGGATCAGTCTCAGTTTGTTCTCATTTGAAACTGAATGGTTACCTAAGTCTTGAATTCATTCAACTTAAAGCAACACTATGATAGGAACACCTCGTCAGTGAAGATTCTATATAAAAAATTTTTTTATCAATATGTGTAGATGATACGACCTGCAGTGCAGAAGTTTTAAAATGTTAAAAGGAATCTGGGAACGGTTTAAAGCGATTTTCCTTGTACAAGTATTACACTTACGGACAAAAAAAAACAGTAAAATATTCAATAAGAATCACAGTGATGCCAAAATAGCATCAGATAAACAGCTTCAATTGGTCAGATCACTTATTACGCTTAGACTGTCCAGCTGTATAAGTATCAGAATTGTACCGTGGTGGCTTCTATATATAAAAAATGTTAGCTGAACATTTGGCAATGCTGTGTAGATGATATGACCTGCAGTGCAGAAGTTTTGGAATTTTAAAGGAAATCTGAAATCGGTTTGAAGCGATTTTCTTTCTACTAGTATCACACTAACGGACAAGAAAAACAGTAATTATGAGAAACACACAGATGATCGCCTCAGTATAGTCATATGCTTTAATAATTAAACTTGCTTGCCCTTGTCCGTTGAAGACATCCAGAGACACCTTTCCACGTCGGAAATTTTGAACCAGAAATAAAACCAGTAATTTCAAAAACCACTATTAACCACTATCAAAATATTTGATGAGAGCGACTGAGGATATGATTTGACCGTAACATTCAATGATATCCTACATTTTCGTTTGACGTATCTGAATAAATGAGTCAGAGGCTCAAACTTTGAGCGTTTTTTTATCGGTTTCATATTAGCTACACATACCTGTGGTTAGCACGGCAGAAGTACATGTTTCAGTTTTTTTTTTTCATTATTACTATATAATAATAAATTGTGATGGTTCTTCAATTATTTGTTTTAAAGCTTAAATACTTACTATATTAGGCTCAAAATAGCCATATAGATTAGGTTTATTTGTAAATAACAGTTCCTACTTCGTATGCCACTGGGTAATGTAATCGCAAAAACATCGAAAATCCGATGTGTTTTCTGGATGTACTCCACAAAAACCACTCACGTCGCTCATTGCCGCCGGTCTCTTGATCTGTCTGTCTACCTGTCTATCCGCTAACTCGTGGCCCGTCTATAACTTGATAAGTAATGCTCCGATTTTGAGCTAGATATAAAAAAGCTTTGTTTTTGAAAATCCGCGTACTCCTGCTATCTAAACTCACCACCCGGCGACCCGGTCCGCCTAAAGAATTTATCCGTACTGCAGCGTAAAAAACATATACACCGATCACCAGATGTGGAGGGGGACAACGTTGCCAGATGAACAGTAACTACCGGCAGGGCAGGGAAAGAATGTCTATGAACTAATTCATCTGTTCTAGATGTTTGTAACTGACTCTCAAAGGGTTTAAATTGCGCTGATATTAACCCTTTATAAACTAACTGATCACTTCGTTATATAGGAAGTACAGAGTCAACCTACTTAACGGCATTTTTTATTGTTGTATTTTATGTGTGACTGATGACGTTTTCGAAATGACTGCTTCAACTCATCATTACAGTGTGGTTATAGCAATCCAAGAAACATTTGAAGTACTCTTTTCTCTTCTCCTTTACATATTATGCCATCATGATTCAAATACTTCAAATCTACATTTATACCAAGATAGCTGTCATCCTATCATCAGTGTGTACTACAACCAGACGCATTTTGAGAGTACCACCTGAGCTTGAGTAGGTGCATATTTCCATAACCGTCTAATAAGTATAATCTGGGTAGCAAGCCAGCAATAGCTATTTGCTCAACGCAGACATCAGCCGCTACTGCCACCGGGAACAATCCTCGTCGTACCGGTGCAGTACTGCCGTCCGTCCGTCGTTCACGTCGTGAGACTCGAATTAATTTATGGTAAAAGGCTATCGTGATTTGTACCCCGGAGCAATGGTACCCACCGGATAATTACTGCTATTTGCCAAGAGTGGCGTACCGTGGTGGATGTGGTACCTTGGTTGTACCGTGCTCACTGATAACCGCCACCCACTGCCGCGGTGCACTGCTGATATACGTAATTAACCTGGAAGCGAGGTTACCAACGCGGCTGCTGTTGAAGTTACCGGTCGTACTTGTGAAGGCAGACACGTCCAAGGATCGAAAGTGTTATTATAATTACAGGGTGGATACGAAAACCGTTGTGACGTCTAACAACTTGGGTACTTCTCAATATTGGTTGGCCAGGAAGGCACGAGGGGTACTAGACAAGAAAGATGTCTAGCCATGAAACAAGAGACGTACGATTTTTTTTAAAATTTATTATCCAATATAATTCCCGTACATCAATTCACTTGTGGCATTTCTCCTCCAATGAACTTATACGAGTACCCACATTAAAACATGGTTCTTTCCGCGTAAGTCTCAACCAAGTCATCGACGGTTACTTTTTGGCTATCATGTAAGTCTAACCGGCGGCCTGACACATTTTTCTTTAGTAATCGAAAGAGATAAACGTCAGACGGAGCAAACTTATAATTTGTGACAAAAAGTCAGAATCGTTGAGCAAACTTTTCAAATGCTGTAAACAGCCGTGGAACCTACCTGGCTGACAAAGGTGGTGTGTTCTTATCTTCGAGAACCGTGGCTTCTACTTTTTAAGTAAGTTCATCATGAATTGTTGCTGTTTTGGGTCTTCCACTTCTGAGATCGTCTTCTATGGATTCCCGCCCCCATCGAAACTGTTTCGACCAAAAATTTATGGTTTAATATGATAATGCATCATCTTGTGGAGGGCAACCATTTTCTCAAAAATTGTTAGTGGCCGATGGCGCTATTTTGCCAGACATTTCACGATATTGCGAAACACTGATTTTAAGTTACTCAGTTTTTCTCACAACTCACTTCATAAATTGGAAACCAATTATCCAAATTAACTCAAATTTTGCCAGTGCGGATAGAATACATGCCACTATTTGGCACACTGTGCATGTCCGGTCCAATAGTTTTCTTTTTCGTGGATAAATAGATTTCATTTACAGTGTCCCTCGAATCTTATAAGTACCGGGGTACCGCGTAGGATATATGGAAGTTGAAGAAATCTTGTTGATGAACTGGCTATCAGCAGAATTGCAGAAATCCTTTTCTGGCAAATTGTTTCACAGTCCCATCCCTCAGAAATATGTGGGGTTACTAAGGTGCAGCAGAAACGATGCGATATCTACGGAACACTCAGATTGATATTTGGGATGAAGAAAAAAACATAAGTGAACAAGATATTACTGGATATGTTGTTGCTCTGCAAAGTTTTTCTACAACATGAAGCATCTATTGCCATTAGATGATATCTCGCCGTATATGGAACCCCGAGGTGTGACGTCCAACGCAGAATCTGTCTACTACTTATCGAATCGATATATCGTAAAAGGTGTCGGAATTTCCAACTGAGTTTCACCTTCTAGGTAGTCTTCCCATTTATTCTGATTCTCTAATTCGCGAATGACAGAGATTCTAATTTTCTCAGCGATCTCCTTTTAATGACGTTTGTCCTACAGATTATAAACTGAATAGATGAACAGATCAAACAACATATCTTGGGAATTACGGTGTTGACGAGTATAACATGCAGAATAAGAATCACAAATGTAGTTAAAGTGTAACTGTCACATTTATCGGTTTTAGCATAAATATTTGCATAATTAGATCCTGCCATGAAGCATATTCAATTTCCCGATCTACTAAAATGCTTTCTAAGCCACAAAAACAGTAGAACTTCTATCGATAATTGAATATAACCAGCGGATTTTATTAAGGTGTACAACCAAATGTACACTACTTGTCAAAAGTAAACAATATAGATAGGGGTATTGGTATCCCATCCAAGTTCAAGGGTAGGTCGGAAATGTATAGATTTATTCAGAGGAACGTATTGTTTTCCCAACATTAGATTTGTTTTATTAGTCACAGTCTGAAGTGTGTTTGGATTCAAATAATTATTCCCCAGAAAGGTGCACTTTTGATAAAGGCATATAAATAGATATTTTTTCCATTTAAGAAACATTGCGCATAATTTACATATACATATATGTATTTACTGTTTTTAAATGAAATTTTACTCTTACAATAGGTACTGAAAAAAATCACCAAACGTTGGTGTCGGACCTGCGACCCCCTATCCTGTGCTCTTCTCTAAAGTTTAAAACAAATTATCCAGTACTTTCAACTATGATAATTTTATATGCACCTTTGTACATTTGGTATATTGCCTGAAAACCATAATTTAATATTTGGTTGATAAACGCCTTAAAAAAGACACCAATTCGCACCTAAGACAGAAACTATTTCAGTTGGAATGATGAGAATTAATACTTTTTGAATAGTAGTGTACAGCGAATAGCGATTATCTGTAGTCTCCGGCAATCAAAGCATAATCTGAAAATCGAAATTATACGCACGAGTGGCGCCGTTGGCTGTGAGTGCATGGTATACCTACGCCGTATTATAAGCAGGTGAAAAGATTGAGACACCGCGCTCAACTAGAGCGTTATTAACGGCAGATCAATTTGGTGCGGCTTGTAGATAGATCGGAGGTCAATGACGATCGATCAATAAGTCCTGAGGCTGATCCAAAGAACGGTAGGGAAAACGGTCTTGAATTTAGCATGCTACAAGAAATAAAACGAACAAATGTATTACAACTGCTTGCATTTTGCGGATTTAAAGTAATGCAGAACTTTTGGAGTTAATTGAGAGGACAAATATTGAATGAATTACTTTACTCAGCAGTCTTCCCAGCTCAAACAATATGCAAACCAAAGTCTTAAGTTAAATTTTATCCTAAAATTCAATTTTTACTTTACAGTATTTTATTGCTTCTTATGCCTTTACGAGAAAGTATTGTAATCGCGAAACATTTCGGAATTTATGTTTTTGGATGTTATAAGATGTACATTCATGATAAATCATGTCAATCATTTCCGTCAGTCTGTTTGTGTGTCTGTCTGTCCACTACTTTTTGACCCGTCTAAGTACCACTCGAAATTGGGTGAAATGTTCGCATAAGGGCATTACTATGCCAAGGACGAAAAAGCTTTGTAGTTCTTGAAAATCGGTCAGTTGTTAAACTCCAGAACAGTATTTTTGGCAATCAATACCTCCATATCACCATTTTTGACTAATTTATTTTTATGGTGTTTAGAGAAGGCATTTTGAAATGTATAATTTACTTGAACCGGTAGCGTTTACCAAATGTGCATAGAATAATTTTAATTACATGAAAATGCGGCGAATAAAAAGTTTCTTATGTAACTGTTTTTATTTACAGCAACTGTTAGCACCTGGCTTCAATCATCTGTCGATCAGTTCCTCTCTCAAGCTCAAACCTCAAGTTTTGTGTCGGATCTCTCAAAAACCCTCTTAAGCATGCTCATATTTTCCAAGAGTACATAAAATTGGCTTTATAAACACAATCTCACAGAAGTAGCTAACGGTTATCAAGCAGCAGTCGTATTACGTGTTTACCAGCTAACCAATGTCGTGATCCGCCTACAAGTGGAATGAGATCGGTGTTGGTAAAATGATCCGTTGATATAAAATACCAGTCAGAAGCCAAAGTGAGTAGGTACTGCTGCAGACATTCAGTGGTGTAACACGGTCACATGTACTTTCCTTACATTACTGGATTGCAACAAAGGTAATTTTCCTTTTCAAAGTATAGGAATGGGTACAAGTACATCTTTTTAAATTACTATTGGAATGAATGTAAGGACACCTCGAATGTCAAAATCCATTCAGCAGTTTGGGCTGCAACCCGTGATATAGAAATTTCAAAGTTTAAGTTTGCATTCAAAATCCACCGTTTTGGTTCTATAAAATAATCACTGTCACGACTGTCAAGATAAATCTAGAATTCAAATCATTTTCTTACCCTCCCAGCTGGGTAGGTTTATTTACATCATACAAACGCCGTCGAGGTAGACACGGTAGAAGCTCTAGACAGCCCAAATGTTGCAGATTTAGGAATGTGTAGATAAATCTCTAATTTAGATTGAACAGCGACAAATTCCTGATCAAATGAAAAGTGGGTGTTCAATTTCTCTTTACGTTCTCGCTGCTGTTTTTATTAAATCAAACGTAGTTGTTTCTGAAACGGAACGTCCCAACATTCAGAACATATACTCAATGTATTCCCTTGCTTACTATCATCGCGTTTTCGCTGAACGAAAACATATTCATAAACTCGCCTACCTACGTTTACGCAGCATCTTAAAACTACGAGGATAACCACTCTACAAACATATTCTATCCACTGCAGAAGCAACAGCTCTCATTCGAGAATTCTGCGGGTAATTATTTCCTTCGCGAATCATTTCACTGACGTAGTAATATTTTTTGCTCTTTTATGCATAGCGTACACCTATTACGTGTGTCGTATACTTTATACCCTCACGTTTTAGACGTTAGTTGTAACGAATCTGCTTTTTATTGTCAGCGGTTAAGTGCTGGATGATAAGTGGTGTTAAACGCAAAGGTACAATAAAGTCTAAACTGATCATTGGAAGAAAAGATATGAGACGAGGTATAGAGTTCAGTTCATGCTGGTCTATTTAGAAGGCTATATATCTGCACAATAGAATGATTTTTGGCGCTTGGAAATCTCCGAACATTAAAGGCCAAAGAAAACGTTATTTTGTCTAATGGTTTTCGAAAAGCTGCTTCATTTCAATTACATTTATAAAAAAATTTGGTAAAAAAGGATTTTATTAGTAACAATAGCATCCCAAGATTCCTATTAATCTTCAAAATTTATTCGAAACAACAACGTTCAACGTCAAACTTTCAACCCCCACAGAAGGTTGTTCTGGAAATGACCAGGAACCTCTGAAGCGTCAAAAAAGGTTGAGTGATTTTTATTTTTTCCGTGTTTATGTCCCTAGCCCCGCCGCCACTGCACCGATTTTCAAAATCTACACAGCTTTTTCGTCCTTGGCATATTAGTAACCTTGTGTGTAAATTTCATCCAAATCGAGGCAGTACTTTTCTAGTTATAGGCGGTCCAAAGATTAGCGGACAGACATAATGACAGGCTCACACAATGACAGGCAGACAGACAAACATGGTTTTTCGTGATGAACATGTCAAACATCCAAAAAATATACAATCTCACTTTTAATTATTTCACTATTACAATATTTCCTCGTCCAGTGACGTCGGAAGAAAAATATATGTGGGACCCCAGTACACACCACTTTTTTACGTTTTTGTGGTCCTGTTATGATTTTTATCGATTCCTCTAAAATTTGTGGGTCTCCCAGCGTACAACTTTTATAGTTTCTGGGCCTGTATTATTATTTCGAAGCCAATTCTTTTTCAAAAGCGGATTTTTCAGATTTAGTATTTGAATACATAACAAAGATGTTATTTCACAAAAACTGTCTCTATTTTTACATGTCAAACTGGAATCGTATATATAGGAATGTGGGCGTCCTCCATTTGTTTATAAATAAAACAAAATTGTCGTCGACTTCGCCGATGTTAACGTTATACTCACGCATAATTGTCCTCAGGTCATTAATAAAGTAGCAACAATTTATAAAGTCCGTTTACTCGTATGATGGACAGTTGTCACAACTGTTGCCAGCTACCTACGATGATATATAGTCAATTTTTGCCAGCCTAATTGACTACAGGCGCAGGCAGCCGGATAAAATTAGAAATTGTAAATTTTCATCATTCAACCGGAGACCATGTGCGAAGTAAGCTGCATATTATTAGTATGGTCACTTAGCAATCAAACCAGCTTATTCCTCTCTTCAGTGTACGCCGATTTGTATAAATCAAATTCAGAAGAAATGATTGATCGATTTCTTTGAAAAAAAATATTTATTTTCTATTACTAAAAAATTGCATGTTTTACTTACCCCGCCAATTGACGGAGAATTTTTTTATGTTATATGGCATACGCATTACGAAAAACCATGTCATTTCCGTCGGTCTAGGTGTCCTAAATTTTAGCCACATATCAAAGTATTTTCTTTTTCGAATGAAGTTTTATTATACATTCGGAAATACCACTTTAACATGAGAAAATTGGTATAATTCACTATAGGGTCTTGATGATTAACAGCATAGATGAGTTTTTAAATAATGATTTTACCGACTTTGTTCCATAATTGTTGACCGTTTATTACTTTGTTTTCGTTTGTTTTTTTTATGTGTTATTTTTGTATTATATTTTATCGTTCTCCAGACGTGTGTAAGGACATTTGAGTACAAACATGAAAAAATGATTAGTATTTCATAATTTTTTAACCATCTTATTTTATTGTTCCTCTAAATTTTAAAATAGTTTTATCAAGTTTTTTTTTACCTTTTATTGCCACTTTGTGTTTTACGTTTGTCTTATTTTCGTATTGTTTGTTACTTTTACTTACTCTTTTATGTTCTACTTTAAATGACCTGTGCAAACACATTTTTGTGTAATAGTACCAATAAATTATTATTATTATTATAAATGTTGAGTCACGTGTTAATAAATGTACAAAAACGCTCAACTTTGTCAGCTCACCAGTCTGCCACTGAGAGAGGTACTGAAACGCGTTTAATGTCGTTTTTTCAGATCTCGTTTTGTTTGCAATACATTTACTTTTTGGAAATTTTTAATAGTTTGTACAGATTGTTAAAATCAAAATTTCTAATGGAACGCCATGAACTTAAGATCTCAGTTCACGGTATTCCATCTTTCATCCGTCATGTTGTTTAGAAAAATCAATAAAATTGAGTAATTGATACAATACTCTTTAAAAAGCCCCCTACTTATTTTTTTATCGGGCTAAACTACTTAGTTGAAATTTGGGTGCAGTCGGTCCATATACTGAGTTGGCCAAATCATAGGAAAAAAACACATTTTTACTGTTTTACTGTTAATTTCAAAAATCGTTCATTTGGGCTCAAGGAGATTTGTGAACATCATTTTTTAAAAACTATATCTCTTAAATGACCGCCATGAGCCTGTACAGCGAAAAGTGCCCGTGATGCAGCATTTTCCATCGTTTTGGCCAATGTTTCGGTTGATATGGCGGCTATTTCCTGTAGGATGTTGGCTTTAAGTGCGCCTAGGGTCCTGGCTTATTGACATAAACCTTCCATTTCAAGTAGCCCCACAAAAAGAAGTCTGGAGCCGTCAAATCGCGGTCTCCATTTTTCGACATCAGACGTCCAGGGAACAATCGTTTCAAAAAATCGATAGTAGCTCGAGCTGTGTGTGGTGGAGCGCCATCTTGTTGAAACCAGAAATGCTACATACCATTGTCACGAACAATTGGCATCAAAAAATCGGTTACCATATGGCAATAATGCTCCTGATAGACGGTAACCGCTTTGCCAGCTTCATCTTGGAAAAAGAACGGCCCAATGACCATACCAGCACAAATCTCGCACCAAACAGCCACTTTTTGGTCACAAAGAGGTACCTCGTGAATAATTTGAGGATTTTCAGTACCATAGAACCAACACCTTTGTTTGTTTACAGCTCCGGTTAACATGAAATGAGATTCATCGCTCGTGATGATTTTTTGCCAAAAATGATCGTCACTTTCAGCCATTTCGATGACTCTTTGGGCTCATTCCAATCGACTTGGCTTATCGGCAGGTAACAGGTTTTGCGTCAGTTGAATTTTGTATGGGAACAAATGCAAATCATGACGCAATATGCGACGTAAAGTGGTTCGTTTTATGCCCAACTACTCAGATCGACGTGTTTGAGATGTTGTTGGAGACCTCTGAACACTGGTCCGTACGAGTGCGATATTTTCATCCGATCGCCTTGGTTGCTTTTTATTTGGACGCTTGGGATTAATAAGTGCCTCACCTGATGAAAATCTTTCATACAAACGATACAATGTAGTCGCGGAAGGCGCAGTTTTCACTTTATTTATTTTTCTCCATGTATGTTGAGTTTTCACAATTTATTTGCTTTGTTGAATGTAAATTTCAACAATCTGAGAGCGTTTGCGTAAAGCCTACTGCTCCATTGCAAAAATCTCCTTAGACTGATGGTTCAAACGCGATACGTCATTATTCGATCTGTCATCTCTGTCAAAAGTTACAGTGTTGCCACATCTCTTCGTCGAATATGGCCAACCCTATACACTTAAGCATCCCACAAACCGGCGCGAAATATTCGCTTTGGCCGCGAAAATTTCGCGGCGATGAATTCGCGATCAGATTAAAACGCGGCGGTTTACGGACAGGCTCAGACTTGTGCGAAGCGAATGCGATTGTTCCAGCGTTTTTATCGCGGCGTATTTCAGTTCGCCTTTGACCGCGTTTTTGACGCCGTTCTTCAAAAATTCGCAATGGCAAAAACGGAATTATTGATAGAAATAGTGAAAAAGTATCCTTGTTTGTATGATTTGTCGAACGATGAATACAGGAATGTGAAAAAGAAAGACAAGATTTGGATGGAAATAGGAAAAGAATTAAATACAAATGGTATGTACCTAATATTTTTTATTAACTTGTTAAATAATTTACAGTCTACACAAATGTGAAAACGAACATTCTATATATTGGGCATAGGCATATCAGAATTAAAATAATTTACGAATTTGTCACGAGTAGAAAATGCTAGCCTTGCTGCCCGCCGAGGATCATTTGCTATATCAGTAAAAGCTCCAAGCACGGGTTCTGGGGGATCTAAGAATTGAAAATATTTGTCATCGCCACTTTTACTTCGTAAAAAATTGTGAAAACACATTCCGTACGTACAATTAGAATAGTAGTATCTACTTTAGTTTCTAATGGCCTGTAAAATATTCGCCATTTTTGAGACAAAATACCAAACGCATTTTCCACGACCCTTCTAGCTCGACAAAGTCTTACATCGTATTCCTCTTTTCTGACGTCTGTTAAAGTCTGCTTATAAGGAAATGGTCTCATAAGGTATGGTTTTAAAGCACATGCTTCATCACCAATTAAGACGTACGAGCAGATTTCATTTTGCCCAGGGAGAAATCTAGCTGCAGGGACACTCTTTAAATTTTGTTCAAATCGTTTTCCCATGTTTAAGGTTTCGAAAATACCCCCATCACTATTTTTTCTGAAACCACCAATATCAACACATAAACATAAACTTATAGTCCGGGCCAACAATGGCCATAAGTACTATTGAATATTTATGTAAATAGCACCAGTAATTGGAGCCACTATTGTTGGGTCTCTTGATTGTTACATGTTTACCGTCCACGCTGCCAATGCAATTGGGAAATCCCCCATCTATTTTCAAATCTTCAGCACATTTTTTTCATATATTCTCTGTTGGTTCTGGTAAATATATATGCTCCATATGTCTGCATATTGCTTCACAGACTTCGTTTACGATTGCACTCACTGTTGTAAAGCCAACTCGAAAGCTATGCCCAATGGTATAGAAGTTGTCACCAGTGGCAAGGAATCTATAAAAAAAATCGTTTTTAGGTGATGAAGTAAAAAAAAGGTGGAAGAATATCAGAGACACATTTGCAAAATATATAAAATCTACCAAACCAAAGACCGGCTAAGCAGTGGGCAACATAAAAAAATGGCAGGCTACTACATGGAATTTTTCCGTCCTTTTTTGGCATTTGCCAAAACGTCGTCTACTGTGAAAGATATTGACGTCATACATTATGAGACTCCCGAATTTAACTCAAATATATATCAGGAAAGGGCTGGAAATGTAGAAACCGAAAATTTGGAAGACCGCGGCCATGGAGAAGATGAAAATGCTGATGTAGATGCAGAAGATGCACAGAACGCCTCGGCAACACAGACAGCACCACCTTCTTCATTGAACACTACAGCAGTGACTGCTCCAGGGCACACCTTTCCGCAGACTGCAACTACACCAAAATATAAAACGAGCACAAAACGCTATGAACCACCATCTTCGTCTGTACAACAGCTCATTAATTATTTTGAAGGTAAACAACCTAAAAAAGAGAACGAGACCATTGATTCACTTTTCTTGGCACATGCACAGACTGTGAAAACACTTCCCTTAAAGCGTCAAGCCCGAATAAAACTAAAAATAGCCGAATTAATAGCGCACGAAGAATTTGAACATATTGAAGAAATGTCTTCAGCGTCTACCCAGAATTCTGCAAGTATGTATGATAGTAGTATGTCGTCCTTCCCAAGCGGCACTGGGTTTACTCCAATAATATACCCAATAGAGGAGGCAAATTCTGCCTCGAATTATTTAGCAACATTTAATCCTAGTGGCGACATGTAGTCCAATTATTACAATAAAATATTTATTTCACGATCTTTGAAGTTTTCGTATTCGATAAGCCTACTAATTTTAATACATATAATTTTTTTACCTGAGTGTAATAGCAAGTCGTTCTTCTGGCGAAATAGCTTCACGATAATTTGTGTCAGATTTTCGTATTTCATCTTTCACCAAGTTCAATATTTCATCGAAACACTCTGGAGTCATTCTAAACTATACGTAAAAGCGCTGTTTATCCAGCCGAAGTTGTGGCATCAAGGTATGGTATTCCCCAAATTTATTTAGTTCCAAGTTAATATCATGTACCCACTTCCTTCGTTTCCTAAACAAAATTGAAAATATTTGTTTTGTGTACTTCGTTAAACTTAATACATACCCAACTATCAAATGGCGTTAAATAAACATAACTTACCGTGCATTTTGTTCCTCTTCTAAAGGAAGAAATAGAAGTGCCTCCTCTTCTTCTGAAGACGAGCTCATTGCAAAAGGCAAAAATAAAATGTACGCAACCTGTCGAAGCCTTCACGTTCGCGGAGCGAATAAGACGCTTTGGTATGAATAAACAGGCGAAACAGATTGCGAATTTCCCCCTGAATTTCGTTGCGAATACTTCGCCGCGATTATTTCGCGCCGGTTTGTGGGATGCTTTATACTGTATTTTCGCGTAAAAGTGGTACCTGAAAATTCCAAAATAGTGGGCTGTCAATCTTGTTCGCGTAGCTGCCACCGCATAAGAGAAAAGGCATGGATGGTTTTTCTGTCAGTGACCCAACTATTCGTAGTCTGTAAACTTGACCATGTGCGACTTTTGGCTAACGGTGAAATAATTGCTAATTGTCCGTTAATTATTCGGTGTTTATTTAATAACAAATTATTGCCGGGCAACTGGTCGCGTTCGATTTGGTCAATTTATCATCGTAGACCATGAATGTTACATTAATAGGATATGTATAAATACTAGTATGTCATATGTATGGGACTTGATTATTTTTAGTTCATGAGTTGTTACGTAACTGAAGAAATGAGCCATAAAACTGAATTTTAGAATGAATGTACTGAAGAGCTCGCTTATGAGTCCGGTGATGAATTCTGCGTAATATGAAAAAGTAGCAGGTATTTTATTTTCAGAATTTTACGTCCCATACGGCTCAAAATATAAGCAAAAAATATACAGTAGAGTTGAATTGCAATTGACGCGGCTACCTTAAAGCTTAACAATATTATCTCAACACAACTGAAGTATATGCTTCTAAGATATTCATTAAGTATCCTTTTTGCATATGCATCTTCTTCTTAAACTAGTCACTTTTTATTCATTTGTACAGCTTTGTTAACCTTTTCACCGTCGCTGATCACAAATTTAATTTTGCAATTTCATCAACTATTAAACAATTGACTTATGCCTGTTACATCATTCAAGTACCGGTATCACTTTTAAAAAAAATCTATACGTTTATCGGATAAGTGTTTATGAAATGCATGAAAAATACTTCATAAAAAATGTTGTGAACAGCTGTATTTGAAAGTTAATTTCTTGACTTCTTTCTAATTATAATTTGTTTTAATGAAACGAATTAAGGAACCGTTTCCTTGAAACACATAATGCATAGGCATAGGTTAGAAGGACTGGGTACGAAAAGTTGACTAGAAATATACTAGTAACATGCGAATTATCAAATTATGTGTTAATGAAAACATTTATTTCAACTTATTTTTTCTATGTACACTCATATCTATAGATGAAGATACTATAACGTCCAATGTTTTCATAAGAAACCTTTTATACAAAATTCTAGTTTGCGTACTTGTGTCCTCCAGAGGCGATCTCAAATAAACAAAACATATACCTTGATTAATTTTATAGGAATTATTGTTATATGTCTGACTAAGTAAACATCACCATCTAAACCAGAGTGACTTGCTCAGGTTCAATATAATCTTCAAAACGCGAATAAAAATGCTGTGTGAGAATTACTGTTCGCCTCCCGAACGCCACCATATGGCTTCTTGTTGGTTACCTTGTAGTTGCGTTAACTGACTTGTATCAACTTACGCTTCCATATCGATAACATCATTGGGATATCAGTAAACATCTGAGGTAATCTCTAACACGGCAGTTTATGGCCCAAGATGGTCGACACCTGCAAACGTAGTCGTGTGGTTGAATCGCGTTGTAGAATCACTTCATCCATGGTACTTTGCATATTTACATCGGCCGTAAAGTATTCTATTTCCTGGAGGAATCTCTCTATCTCAATTGGATATCTACCATGTGTCAAAAGAAAAATATGTCATGTAATGAGATAAAGATATTCACCAAGATAGAGGAGAACTGATCCACATTCAATTCAAAAATAAGAGTATCACACACTGCATGTATACACTGAGTACCACGGAAATAATTACGTGAAGACAGGTTATGTCACTATAACCAAACAATTGTTCAGAACGAACGGTGTCCAGCATAGAGAAATATTTCCGAATATCGAAAAGCAAATAAAAACATAGGGCTCATTGCCAAAAAAGAAATTTCTTAAAGGCAGCAGGAATCACTTGCGATTGTCGGTAGTACTGGGGATAGGCAATACCTTTAGACGCCATCTCTAATATGATATGAGAGAAGAATGATCTTACTGTGGCCTCTCATTCGCAGAAATCGACGGCATAGTCCAAGTTTTAGAGACTCTCCATCAAACCCCGTCTGATATCTCCAGGACCATCGCATACTTTTCTCATTACATAGTCTAGTACTCCTTTGAACCAAATTGAGGAGGAGGCACACATCCCTGTTTGACGCCACGCTTCAAGTTGATATTTTGCGCCTTTTTGACCCATATGGAGATACTGACTTGAAGCATCTACATATATCTTTCTCCACATTGACGATTTTCCGTGGGATTTGCACTTGTCTCGTGCATTTAAGTACTTTAGCATGCATTACAACGTCGAAAGCCATTAGTTTGGTTGTTCCATTACTTTGGTTGGACCGTGAGTTTTTTATCCAGGTTTTATCTCATGGTTTCTTGTTCGATCTCAAACGCAGATGTCTTACTCCACCATCTGAAGGTCAAACTGTTGTATCTTATGTTATTTTCTCACAGATCCATGAAGAATGCATTTGCAACATTTTAGTCAAAGATTGCATAACAAACGGTGTGTTACGACAACAGTTCTGGTTGGGCTTTCGTATTCTTTGGAGGGTTGTTGGCATCTTCGGGACGATAGATAAGCGTGACGAATCTGGTATATTCAAAAAACGACAGATACCCTTATGCTGGCTTGCCGTTTTGGAGGGCTTGTTGTTGATTCTTATGAGTGGGAAAGCCTACCGCAGGCGATCCTGGCTATTCTGGTGCAATCTTAAACTATGGAATAATGGCTTCGCGCAATTTCAGGCTGTTAAGGGAGCTTTCACGCTATTGTAGTAACACGCGGTATAGAAATAAGCAAATGAAAAAAAGAAGACAGATCAATAAAATATATTGTCAAAATCATTGTACTGAAGGTCACCGTTGTGACCGAAAGGATTACTTACAAAAAAGATTTTTTTAACACATGCGGTTTCCATTGGCCAGAGAAGTATGGGGGATTTTCGGCATGAAAACCACAGGTTAAGTTTCACATGTTACATATGGATTAATGATTTCTCGAGTTTTCGAGGCATTGATTTTCTCTCATCTCGACTAAAGACAATTTTCTCGAGTATTCTAGCTTCAAGAATTCTCGAGCAGAACTCCTAGTCTTGCATTACGCCACCTTGTGGGAACACATCACGATAAGACCAAGTGTGTGGACACACATCTGTAGGTATGAGGTTTTCCTGCTTCTTTCAAAAAAATGCACCATTTTTTTTAATGATTTCGATCCACTGTGCTGCGTTTATGCACTCCCTCATATGCAAATGATTAAAACGCGCACCTGGAGCGACATAAGACCATCGCGTGATCGCAAATTCGGGATCTGCCTTCGATAGTCTTAAAATGTGTGGCAACTAGCGGCAGCAAGTGGCCAAAATGTAAATGAAGCTCTTATACGCACAATGAATGTACCTTCATACGCATATGCATTAACTTGCGCCTCTTTTTCTCTCTGAGGCAGCACAGCGCCGGCAAGTGGCGGCATAAAGTAGTTGACACCTACATACGTGTACACATTTCCCGTCCAAGAGTTTATGCAAATATGCGGGCGCGAAACCAGTGCAGGCGCTGGTCAAAATTTGTGCCAATGCAGTAATAGAAGTCAGTGAGGAAGTTGCAATGCATTCGGTCCCAGAGCACTAGCGAAGGGTGACATTGACTACAAGAAGAGCTGCCCTTTATCTCTACCACATAGAGATCTGACATATCAATTTTCCCTTGAAATTTTACCAGTGCACAAGTGCATCTTTGGGCAGAACCAAGATTCAAATTGTCCGCACGTGGAAATCAGCCCTATTCAGAGATTCTGGCTTCTCTTGAACTAGTTTGTATTCTCCCCACGGCTCGTTAAGTTGTTTAAGTCTGGCTTCAACATTTTCGATGTCTTCGCCCAAGAAATTCGTAATAAAGTTGTAAATTATTGTAAATTCACCCTCGATTGAATCTGTGGAGCGTTGGAATTGTTGTTCTTCGGCCATCTTTATGAAACTCGTATCAAATGACAGAAAGATTGCTTTAGGATTGGACGATAAAGATTTTAGAATTGCAGTGGAACGAGCTAGGTAGCGTATTAATCATTAGCTTATTGGTAAGTCCAGTTTAACGAAATCAGACGGTTGGAACGCTGTAAACAACAATGTAAAGATAAATGCAAGTCTTTGCATTATTACTTATTGACGATAGGGATGTCTACGTGCGAATTACTTAAAACTCGGATCTGCCCTGCTCATGTGCACTGGCAAAATTCGACCAGACAACGCTAGCAATGGAATGCCGATCAGCTCTCCGAGAAAGTTTAATTAGAATATCTGTAAACTACTTTACGATAAAATTCCTAGATGACTAGGGTTGCCTTTTTTGGTCATATCCTGTTAAATTTGCGCTTTAGGTAGGCTTTTTGGTCTACGTGGTATTCGCATAATCACGCAGAAGTGGCTAGTGCGACCTTGTCCGTACCGCGTAGCATATTTAACATAGTTTTTTATCATTGTTGTTGTGTCAATTTTGGAAGTGTATGTTCAGCGAAAGATGGCTAGCAAAGGAGATCATTTCCGGTTGTGAGCGACAAATATCCGGCCAAATACATACAGCGCCGAGTCCGGCTTTTGTATTATAGGAGATTGAAATATATGGGTAAATATACGTAGGTAAATTATAGCACCTAGTCTGTCCCTGTACACCAATAAATTGGACCAGGAATCGAGAACGATCTCAAAAGCACCACCTCAACGTAGAACTGGTACTACCAAGAATTGATAATTATTCCCAGGATCAATATTTCTTGGCTTCGGTGCAGCTAATAAAACGTGTTAACAATAATTTCACACTCGATTGGTTACAGCTATATCAGTTTTCAAATGCGAAATCAGCATGACACTGGTTATATATTCACAGTGAGTTGTGGTTTATTTTTACTTCAGGTGAGATCTGCCTGTTGCTTGCTGGTACAAGGTGGTCTTATAATATTAAGGAACTTCAAAAATATTCAGGAAATGTAAATGTGTAGCATGATCTATTCAACCTATTCATTGTCAAATTCCTTAGGTATGCTAATGAATCTATAGCTGTTGAAGAGCGATATCTTCTATGATCTACGGTAGATGTAGCGCTCTGCAGAAAAAGGCACATACACCACTAGATGCCTTATTCTGATAGAAAATATTGCTTTCCGGATATCTAAACTTCTAATATATTAGTTAGGCTAATAGAAAGGCCCTTTTGGATCCATGCGAAATATTCCAATATATAGATGAGGAAATTCGTGTTCATCTAAGATTAACTATTACATATAACAGATGCGTAATAATACCGAGATAATGTGCTTCTTAATAATACAAAGTTTTCCACTAATACCAAAGAGGCAACTCTTACGACCCCACTTCTAAAGCCCAATTTTCAATACAAAAAAAAAGTCTGAAAATGAGCAGGAGTCTATGTAACGACAAAAATGAGAGTTTTTTTTAGATAATTGCCCGTATCTCTGGCGGCTCTGGATTGATTTTCAGAAAATATAAAGCTTTTTCGTTCATGGCACAGTAGAATCCTTGATGGTGGACAGACAGTCGGACCGACCGACACACAGACCGACCAACGGAAATGAGTGACATAGTGTCTCGAGATGTACACGTCATGTAACACCCAAAACACACAGTATCTGATTTTCAATATTTTCTGCGATTACAATACTTCATTGCCAATGAATGGGGGAAGTAATATGAGTATCAGAATTTTGTTGCCTCTAGAATAAAGGCAACGGAAGCCATTGCAAATATGGACAAAGTTGTTAATGGATCAAGTTGACTATAGACTTTTTAGGCTTTTACTTGGTTGGATATGCATTTGCGTTCTCAGGGACATATTCATAACGCAGCGCACGTGTGACATTCCTGATGATTCACAACAACGCAAATAACCTCATATTTGCTTATCACTTCGAGAGCGCTAAGCGTTATTAAGAACGTTGGTACCTATACTATTCTAACACGCTGCAAAAATGTTCTGAAGTTAAGAAAAATTAAAATATGACTGGTTCAATTAAATTACAAGTTATTTATTTTGGAATTCAAGGATAGAAATCTCTTATTTTTGGTTGTTTTTATTATCTTATTTTTATAAGATATATCTATCTGCATAATACGTTCGTGCTTTCATACCCTTAGAGACGGAAACGTCACCTCCGCCACTGAAACAGGCCGTAGAGGACGCTTACGAGCAAAATTGTAATTGCAAATGAATTTATAAATAATTTTTTTCTTACTTGTTCAAATTGGCTCAATTTAATGTGGAGCGGTCCGTCTGTGTTATTTAAAATAAAAAATGGTAATGTGCTCATAAATAATCGTGCACGATGCAAGCAACATTCATGTTATCAGAAGGATTTTACACTGCATGACATTGTCCAAGCGACATGCCGGAGTATGTTTTGGCACGAGTACGTCTTCAGAAGACAGGTCTAAGTTATATGGTGGGATAAAGTTTCTGTTAAAAGAATGACTATGTAGTTGTTTGAGTATACAATACAACCTCAAAGCCATAGGTGCTCAAACGTGAAAAATCGTCGCATGATATGAATATAGATAATATGTGAACGGGCACTAACTAGGGAAGTAGCAGAATTCCTATGATTCCCTGAGGACATTCAATTTACTAGGATATAAAGACCTAGAGTGTTTACTTACTATCAAAAGTAACTTCAGCAGCGACCTTCAATTTCGCATGCTGCTATTGGCAAGTGGGCCATAGATACCTGGGCAGGGAGCAACCGGCGAACAGAACTGTCGATGAAGTGCTACTGCTTGTTCTAACGCGGAATAAATGTGTTTCTGGATGGCATATTTGACAATATATGCTACTTTACAGTCTTATGATACTGATGGGGGCAACCAAATTTAAAATAGCAGATTTTGATACAATAGATGGACCCTTCAAAATACAGTATGTTTGTATTACCAGGTACATTACAAGTTAACTTATCCTTTAGAAATATGATATTTAATTGAAACAACATAACTTTATTTCATGAATGAGTGGCCTCTTATTAAACTCATTGATTGATGAGAATTTTTACTTTCACAAAAGACAGCTTTTCAAGGTAGGTCTCTCAATGGTGTGAAATAGAAGGTTATGAACAACAATAACGGAGCTGACGAGTTTGCCAAGAAAGGAAATGCACATGAACAAATATACCTTCTGGTAAATACCAAACACGAATGGATATGGCAGGGGAAAACACTCTTAATGCACTAAAACTTGAAACTGTCTAAAAAATAACGGCAAAGGATGGCTGGATGGTGAAGGCCTCGTAACTAGAACTTTTAAGTACCAATTAGACATCCCCGTAACACCGACGCTTACGCCAGGATGATACGTCCGCACGCTGACAACATTCGCGGGAACCCTTCTGATTTGTCGATTCAAAAATAAATTCACCGTAGATGGCAGAGAGAGTTAAAATCGACCGAGAGTGGATGCTGAGACAACAGCGCGGGACACCATAGTCCAGTCGACATAGAGCGACAGAAATAAATGATAAACATTGTTTTTTCGACAGGACTTTGGATTGGTCACTAGCTGTTTACAAAATGCCAACAAGAAATGAAAACGAAAGTTGTTAAACCTTGAAAGTGTCGCAAGACACTCAAAAACTGCATAACATGTCCTCTTCCATTGACTTGTGTCGCATTTACGAATAAGTCACAAAAGTTAATTAATGTGGATGCAATTTAAGTACCTTTTGATCAGTAGACCCTTATGGCTGAGCTACAGCTATTGAGCAATAAACCCTAATCACTTCTAATTAGTGGCAATTAAAGCCCAGAAATTTATGTAACTTTAAGTCTTTCTAAGAGATTTCATGTAATAGCCGCAACATTTTGGCGACTACTGATATCGTTCAGCAAAACCAATTCACAATGTGGCGTCATTAGCAATGATCACTAGCAATAATTATACCGGCATCTTTTAGGAATGACAGTCAGGTGGATGGTGGATGGAGCAGCGTTCGCAGAACATCGCCCCATATGGTCTCCTGGAGTCTCGAGTGCTTGCGTTGTCGTTTTACAGACAACACATACGCACAAACGGACTGATGTTGCCCGGTACGGGCAGTGTTGAATTTAGATACGCCGAATGCCTATTCCGTCTATAAATCAAGGTGAATTATACCCTGCTCGGCATAGGCGGATCGAGAAGGTAAACGAACTCCAGCTGTTTTCTTAAAAATATAGTGTAATGTTATTGATTCGATATTTTCACGGACACAACTTGGTATCCAGCATGCAGAGACTACAGCTTTACCTATAAGCATAGTGACACGTAACTCTCTACTTGCCTTTCGGAATTTTTCGAAGTTCACGTAGAGATTGGTCGTCTGATGAGCATTTCCTTTATATCATTATATTATTTTTTGAATTTCAATGTGTAGTTACGTTTCTGATGTACAATTGCATACGTTATTTCTTCTTTTTCAATTTAAATGTTCTATTA